GACTCATCGACCTGGTGAGCCCTTTCCAGCCACTGTTCATGGTGGTGGGTGGGTTGGAAGTGTTTCTGGCCCGAGCAACGCTACCCGGCTTCTTGCTGGTCGAGTTGTATGAGTTCCTAGGGGACAGGCGTGGCGGACTGAGCGAGTATGGGTCGTAGTCGTTGTAGGTGGGAGCCTTGCGTAGTTCAAGATCGGGGAAGTAATGCTCATCTTCCTCCTCCTCCTCCTCTTGCACAATGCGAACACCGTCATCAGGAAGCCATGAGTCGGGAGCTAGCGAGCGGAGGCTGGCTTTGCGCGTCGGAGGACCAGCCTCTGGAGTAACAATCTTTGTGGCTTCAGAAGCGACGAAGGGCCTGTTCTCGTCTGTGACCGTGGGCATGCGGAGGGTGGCGTTCTTCACAAGTGAGCGTGAAAGCACCGACTTCTCCGCTCGCTTGCGTTTGTGCATTGGGGCGAGGTTGGTGATGTCCACCAACTTCGGTTTGCCCATTGCGAGTATGGGAACAGCAATAGCAATCTCGGCTTCGTATTCGTCGGCGGTGAGTGGCTCGGTAGTCGCCTCGACAACTTTCTCTGGAACCTTATGCTTGAGCTCCTCTTCATTGCTCTCGGTGTCGCTATCGGGACTGGGAGAGGGTTCTTCCTCGCTCGACATGTAGCGATCATGAAGATTCGCTTTGCTGTATGTGTCGATGCGGAGATGGTTTGGGTTATCCTTCTTCGAGGGCACTCTGCCGATTGTTGTCGATGAGAGATGCCTTTCCTTCTCGGGCCTCTCGTAAGTCTCGTCCAGGATCCATAAATGGTCTGCCATGGCGTTGTTGCTTTTGATACTTTGCTTTGCACCGTCTAATTGTCGTGAACCTGATACTGAGTGTCGATGATGGAGGACAGGCATAACCATTACTGCTGGATGGTGCTGATTGTAGGATGGTGGTCAGGATGGGAGGCTATGCTTTCATTCATGAACCAAGTTGATGATGATGATGACGATGATGGATGTGAGCTGAGCGTAGCAAGATTAGGCAATGTCACTGTAACAAGGCGTACAGCACGGTTTCAGAAGGACAGTGTTGGTTGGTAGTATCCAACATGGGGGGATTGTGGAAGAGTAATAATAATGGAGCTGAGAATGGAGTACGGTGGTTATAGTCAGCCGCGCCGCAGAAGGAAAGGCCGGCTTATCATATAGATTATGAAGGCAGGGCCGCAGGACATGTGCGTGTACCGTTTACAGCACGGTAAGATCGACAATCGCCAAAATAATAACCCTGGAAGTCGACGGAAGGTTTGACGGCTTTGATGGTGGGGAGAGTGTGTACCTGTGAGGGCAAGGGTTAAATGGGTGAAAAAATGATGAATGGGTTGTGGGTTTCAAGCCATCTATTGGCTAGGAAATTTAAAGAGGCTGCATGATCGTAGCCAACCGCAACTCCTACCCTAAGGTTAGTGTAGCTACGCTCGTGACATTCCCACCTCTCCACCATCCATTGCTGCGCCTATTTATTCCAGAGCGCAGCCATGCACGCCTCGTCACTCCGGGAAGCAAAAAAAAAAGAAAAAAAAAGACCCGACCTGTAACGGCGGGTTTAACGGTTCAACGGTATGAGAATCGGTCTGATCACGAAAGGATGGTTCCGTGAAGCTCTGTGGTCAGATGCAAATAGTGCGTCAAATATGAATACCGTGGACAAGAGGAGGTACTTAATGCCAATTGATATGTAATGTACATGCTTAGGTCCCTCCAAAAGGCCCCCTAGAAGTGGCACCAAGCGGACTAGCAGCCCCTCAGCCAAGCCGAAGGATTGACCACGTGAAACCGGCCGGGCCTGCTGTTTCAAGCCTGGCGTGCTTGTCTTGCAATTTACAATCTTCTGTCCATCTGCTTCCCGTGGCCCAAAATGACGACTCGACGAGCTCTTCAAGCCACCATCGACCATATGTCTAATTATCCCCCATCTTACCGTACCTTGTCTGTTTCAGTATCATTTTCTATCTGGCAATCCAAGTCTGAGGTCTGACTAGGTATACAATGCGGCTTTGCGCTTCTCCATGCTTCCATCCGCACCAGCCGTGGTTTTCGATTGTGATTGTGGATGTGATTGCTGAAGGAATTTCCCGAACGGCCACACATTTGGCTGTGGGCACTGGGGTGCATTAGCGTTCAATCTAACGGAGACAAAAAGAGGGGAAACGGAATTAAGAAAGCAGGCCCGTACCTACATGACGCATGACGCAGGAGCAACCTTCCGTATTGCATGAAGCCGTTCGCTGCTAGGTGCGCTTCTACAATACTGATAATCAGCTTGTCTACATACATTCTTACATACCGGTACTTATCTACTCTTTACTCTGTACAGGAAACTGCAATACCGTACATGTTATTGTTGGACAGTCGAATCGCCATCAGATTCTAACAGGCCGGCTGTCCAACGCTAACTCTACGGGCTCGAGCAAGCCGCAAGTTTAATATTCTCCTAGGCAGTAAAGTACTTTAGGCACCAGATGTACCTTAAATGACTAAAGTAATTCAATTTCTCCCACTCTTCGCCATCCTACTAAAGTACCTTAGATCAGACTACCTTAGATCTTTTATTATCATGAAATTGTATGGTACCGAGAGCATCTTTCTCTTGACCACGATACCATCTCTATCTATTCCTGTACCCTGACCTCTTTGACACCCACCAACCTCCGTCTCTTCTGGAAGCGGCCTGTCCTTTGCCATCATTTACCCACATGCTTCATCTTCACTTCTTCGCTACCATGCGATAGCCGGCCGTTTGTGTGGAGACTGGACAATCACTCTCATGCAGCGGCTGTCTCGATGAAGACGCATAGATACATACGCGTGCCACTAACATTGCCCATTTCTATGCGGCTGCATATGTGCCTTGCTTGCAGTCGCATATCTTACTACTTTCACTACCTATTTGGGCAAGAAAATTTTCCCAACAAAAGCCTTTGCTTCCAAACGATGCCAGCGCTGGCAGACGAGCTACGCCTATTACTGCCGTGTCAATGCTGTATGCGTCAAGGCTCAACAGTCAGCAACGCCCGGACGATTTGCATCTCGGATCATTACAGGACGATTGGTCCGATCCTCAGATACTTCTACGCCGAGCGATGAGTATAACCACTCCGCAATGCGTGTTTTTGGCGTCTGACCAGCGTCTATGAAGAGGTACGTGGCAACAGATTAAAGCGCTCTGGGCTCTAAGCTCTGGACACATTGCACCTATGCACGATGGACCTTGAATTATAAATATTGCCTGTGCGGTGCAGAGAGCACAATTTTGATGGTGCCGACAAGAGCTTGGCGACAGCATTGAGCACCATCTCACATCTGCCCCGGAAGATCTGGCTTGCAATGATGCATATCTCGTAATACAATGAATTATGAACGGCCTGGACAGTGACTCAACCACAGCTTTGTCCACTTCGACTTGTGCAGACCCAAATTGTTTCAAGAAAATTGCCCGAAGCTTACATGTACCTACTCCGCTGGTGCCACCCAGGTTCAGGAACTTCAGGGGCCGCACGGTAGTAGTAGATCCGGCCTATTTCGCCCTGGCGGTTTGCTTTCCTCTCATGCATAGATGTTCTTAGGACCGTGAGACTATCGAACCTAATCTCCCTGCGTTGGCACTGTTTATCCGCGGATTTGGATGAAAATCTAGAGGTTTCTCATTTCATCAAAATGGTACTGGCTTAATACCTAGGGCGATGGTAATACAATCGTTATCTCCAAGTTTGCACAATTGTCATTTCATCGTCTCAATGATTAGATTAGTGTCATCATTCTTTTCTTTCCTTACTCTACAGTCCAATATATCGTCTCCAAATACAGTTCATTCTCAACGTCTCCGAAGGAAGCTCATTAATTGCAATATCGCAAGCATCTGTTATATCTCTGTCAACGAACTTCTGGTATTAATCGACGTCGCCACCTCAATACCGTTGCGGACCAAGCATAAGTCTCCATCTATCGGATCGTCCCACCCAGGCTGCTCAAAAGCCATGGCCCTGCATAATCAGGGCCCACTGGAGTCGTACTGGCCATCCCAAGAAGGTACGACTCAGGGGCCCCCAAATCAGGAAAACTGTTTTCCCGATTGTTTTTCATGCCATCGCAAACCTTAAAATATGCCACCGAAGTCAACTTCGGCTACTATCAACCACCTTGCAGCTTTGTTGGCCTGCATGAATCCAGTCTGCCAAGTATACCCGTTGTTGATTTCTTCTCCGCACTTCTCGCTATTCTCACACTCTACATGAAAAGTATTTGCAGCCTTTGGTTCGGATACAACCTTTTATGATAAGGCCTGGAATGTGTGGCTCAAGGTCTCGCACGGACAGAAGTACACGCATAATCATTCCCATGGAAAGAGCGAGAAGCTAGTGGAACGCCGCCAGGGAGTATGCAATTCCGGACGAGCGCTGTCAGACTCGCATGCTCGAGATACTATGGGGCTAGGCCTTCCGTCGTCTCGAGGAGCTAGATGGTTGAGAAACATGGCTTCCGTTTGGTTACCAGTAGCCGTGCTGTACCGAGTCAGAGGTACGATGTCAAAGAGATTGGGCACTTCGAGGCTCAAGCGCCGTAGCCACTATTCATCAGCTTGGGCTTCATGCCACACAGCTTCATGATCAACACAATATGACAAGTATAGAAGGCTTGCTGTTCACCGGATGCTTATAGCTCGAGTCTGGAGAGATTGCTATTATGTTGTACATATTACGACTACTTCAAACGATTTTCCACTCAAGGTCCCGTAGCAAGGCACTGGAACGCAGTCTTAAGGCCTCCGTTCCGGAGTGCACTGGTGCATCCGCCATGAGAAATGTGCCCACAAATCCGACAGGAGCGTAAAGCATCCACACCAACCTTACATAGTATCAAATATCATGACCTCCTGGAGTACGTACCAAATCGATACCCACTCCTGGAATGGCACGTGCAAAGAACTGTTTCCAGGTTCTCATGTATGCCACTCTTACCCCTTTCTCGACCGTGTCACCCTGGGCGTGATTCCACCATTTTCTTTCCCTTTTGCTGATCCATTGGAATGACCTCCCAAATGCACGGCATCTTCCATGCGTTGCACGTCAGGCACTTCCATCCTGCTCATGTCGATGGCCGCTCTTGTTGCCGTCTGGCTAAGTCTTCTGCTCTTCTTCCGCCCCCTTCCACCCTTTGCATTGTCTTTCTTGTATGTAGCGAAGTAGAAGGAGATGAAGAGTAGGAGGTAGGAGGAGATGATGCCCATGCCTGCAAAAGCAGCAAACTCTTCACCAGCGCATTTGCCGGCCGTAGGTAGGTTAGGGAAGTAGGTTGAGGAGAAGTAAGTGTAGGACGCAAAATAGACGAAGCCAAGATCGATGACGAATTGAGCTATTTGGAGCCTGGTGATCCATTTCTTCCACGAGATGCGCACGCCGCGCGCGGCTTGAAAGTAGTACCAGTACATGACTACGTGGACGGTGAGATTGAGGGTGATGGGGACCCAGGAGACGGCGGTCAGCCCAACGAGTTGAGTATAGCAGAGCAAAGCAGTAGCCCCGTGATGATAGGTATGGAGAAAGGCTGGGCGCATCAGCTGAGTACTTTAGGATTAGAAATTCTTGACGTACTGAGGGGCTTTTTCTTGAGAACCATGAAGACAGTGTCCAACAGCTCCACGTATTTTGTAAGATAGTTCAGCTACAGGCTGTCAGTCCCAACTTTCCTGACCGCGACAGAGGAGTACGCACGTAATATAGAGTCACCAGAGGGGCTGTCCATCCTCCCCTGTGGTCGCATATGGCGTAGAAGACTCCATTTCTCGCAATTGTTGGTAGCAACTGCTCAGTGAAGAGTGCCAGAAGAACTCCACTGATAATGGTCAAAGCTAGATTGTGCACCATGAATAGGCCATTGAGCTTGAATGGTTCCCGATTTTTCATGAACTCTCTCCCTGCAAAGACCGTCACGTAATACGTTATGAGCATTGTTACCGTCGCTGTGAAGGTCGACAGAGACGTTGCACCTGGTACGAAGACAAATTTGTTTGCGGAGTGTCCCACGACGTGGGAATAGAGCTTGTCGAATTGAGGCCATAGTTCCACAATGAAGGGTCTGTCGAGCGTAGGTAGGGGAATGGAATCGAGACGGTTGGATGACATGATGCCGGTAGTCTGCCAAAGCAGTGAGTGCCTTTGGCGATTGGTATTGGCTAAGGGTATATTCGGTGAAGAATAGTCAATGGGTCCGTATAGTGGAAAAGTGGTGGAAGAATGGGCTTGTTGTGCCAGAATAATTTCACATGCGGCAAGGTTGATAAAAGAGTGACTAGAATCGAATGTGAGAAGGCGATTGACGACGTGACACTGCTACGCAAAGGTCATTCGAACTTGATGAGAAAGTCTGGAGAAAGGAGAGTTGGGAGGAGGGACGTGATGGTTGCGCGGCGCTGGCGGGCGCTCAAATTTCGGCTGATGGAAATGCCTCGACCAATCATGGCAGGCAATCAACCAGCCATCAGGGAAGGTGAGCTCTTCATAGAAATGAGAGAAAATCTTTGAACGAGAAATTTGCCTTGACCAGAAGGCAACTGACGAGGTCCAATTGACCATATTCATCGACGGTATCTGCTCCTTTTAAAACACAGATTATCGAGAATTGTGAAAGCTTCAATTACCACCGATAGGTACGTCTTTTGTTCAGCCCTAGCTCCCCTGATCTGAGGAGCAAACTCCGGCTATAGGTATCTCCGTACCTCGACTCACCATCCGACCCAATTTAAATCTCCCCTCAGCGTCTTCACTGCGCATCCTCAATGTCTTCCGCCACTCTCTTTCGTCTAGCCGCGCGCACACAGCCATCGTACCTGTTCCGGTCATCGCAGCCAGCAAAGACAATCTCTCCAAGGGGAGTATACGCCGGCTCATCCGCGACGGTGCCATGCAATTACTTCAGTACAAGTGTTAGGAGGGCAGCCGATAAGGATGGACAAGAGGCAACCGGAGGCTCAGGGCATCATGAAGAGAGCTTTGAGGAGTTCACTGCTAGGTATGGGCATTTGGCAGCTCGTCTGTCCTCGACCTGCCCTAGCTCTCTGAGTGCAGAGCATCCAAACATCGAACCTGGAGGCAACTATGATGGGTCAATTGGCTGACAAGAGACGTTTCCAGATATGAGAAAGAGTTCGATGGTGTTCAAGATGTCTTCGAACTACAGGTAAAGACTACATCTCGCCCCGCAAAGCCGAACCCTAGAATTCTGAGTTTTTCGTCTTACAACAGCGTAACCTGAACAACGCTTTCGCCTACGATCTCGTCCCCTCTCCTTCTGTCATCACAGCCGCTCTTAGGGCAGCCAGAAGAGTTAATGATTTCCCCACTGCCGTACGCGTCTTCGAAGGTGCATTACTCACTTCAGCCTTTTCTTTTTCGAAGACGTACTCACCCCTTGAGATACAGGTATCAAAGCCAAAGTCGAAAACAAGGGCCAATACGACGAATACTTGCGCGATCTCGAACCGCTTCGGGAAGAATTAGGTATCGATTTGAAGGAGGACTTGTATCCCGAGCAACTTTACACTGGAGGTGCAAATAGGGCTTGAAAGGGACCGAGGGCGTATTGAGAAATTGGGGACGAAGAGGAGAATTGGAGAAGCACGTTACAACCAAGATTGCACAACGCCGTTTGACTCGTCTGTACGCGATATATGCACATAAATATCTGCCAAAGCTTGCTCGTTGCTCCGCTTCAATAAGGTCGAATGGCTTGCAAATTACAGGTTTGTTCTGCGCTGCGCTGAGACCGATCTGGTATTGCACTTTTGCCTTCAGCCTGGGCTCCGACACGGAATAGACCACGATTTGTTAGAAAGCGCCACGGTTGAAAAATTCTGACATTAGACTTCGTAAATTCGACGAACTTGAGCAGGACTACAAGTGCTCAGATGGCATTTCATCCCAGTCTTGCACCATTGAAAGGCTATTATGTACATCGAAATAGCTCAGATACACAGGTACCTCCGTGATGCCTTTTTGCGCCAAAATGTACGTACTGTTGACATGCCGATCGAAGGTAGCAAATACCTACTTTACACATATTCATGTATAGGGAACGAGTTATTGTCTTCTCTCCCTCGAAGGCCCCATTGTGCCATCGCCAAGTATCAATCCATGCCCACGTATTTAAACCAATTAGGCCTGCAATCTTCCTTGAATAGGAATCTCTCGCCATCGGTGAAGCGGCCCGTGACACACCCTCTACATTTGGGCGATTTAGGGCAGTTGAAGTAGGGTATGTGCTGGTATCCTATATCACGGAACCTGGAATGCAGTCAGATGGCGCCTGTCCATATTGGGTTCGAGGTCGAATGCAGATGCGGGAAGTCTCACCAATGGATCTTGCTCTTATCCTCAAACAGTCCCAACGCAATACTATGCACCGGCGCATCCCCCCACCTCTCATAGAAGAAACCACCCGCTCGATCCAAGTGCTCGAAATAGTCTTCATAGGGTTTGGAACGCCAAAATCCCATGTCCGCAATCTCGAAATTGCTCCAAAAATGACACGTGCTGTACCCGTGCGCTTTTATATTGTGTTCCGGCCTCCTTTTGCTATCCACGACCCACTCCCTCGCATTGTTCTCATGCAAATACTCTGGATGTGCCGCCATGAACTTTTCTGTCTCTGGCCACAAGGTTGGTATGGTCTGCGGCGCATCGTAAAGGTTGATCGTAAACCCGTACGTCTTATTGTGATCATTCATCCAGCGGAATATATCGTAGTCAATGTCGCAGAAGAAGTGTACTTTTGGCTCCACGCGCCAATAGTAGCGGACATCTTGGAGGGCTGGGTGTTTGTAGAACATGCCACTATTCCAGCGGCACATTTGATGATAGGATACCATAGGGCCATACTGAACCTCTTGCTCTTCGAGCATCTTGGCAGACTCATCAAAAAGATCGCTATTGATCCAGGAGGGCACTGCCCAGTGTTCTTTGGGAATTAATTCTGTAGGAAGAAATTCTATTAATTTGCGAAGATGCTGGGGTGAGGGGCAAACTGGACAGCCGTACCATAATTGCATTTTGCTTTCGTCTCCATCTGGGTTAGACGTTTAAAATCTTCTGAGAAGGGGACGTCGTTGAAAAATGTCCAGGGGTAGTTGAATTTTGAGTTCCATGTTCGCTCCAAGTCTCTCATGGATACCAGCATACCATCTAGCTCCTCATTTCGTACCAGCGCCAGTAGTGTCGCATTAATGCGAGGTGAATCGGGATTGTCCGCAGCATACCCATCGGCTCGCCATAAAGGTGGAGGAGGTTCGCCATACTCTGGTTGCTGTTAGCATGTACACGTGAGCATATTACGGTTGTTGTACCTTGTAAGGTCGGCTCGTTGGGAAGCTCATGCTCCAGATCGCCTTGTCCATGTATTGTTGGCGGGGTTCTAAAGGCCTGGAAGAGGAGGTAGAACAATAAAAAAGCAGATACTATCGCCAAAGCACGCAACGGTCTTGGGATAGCCATGTGGGCAGTCTTTCTCGGCCTCTCATCGACCAGTCACTTGAGAAACAATATAGGTATGAAGAGATCGTCATGGCCATTGGCATACTTCTTCTACCTCCCCATCCTTCATCATTCTTATCCTTTTCTCTATTCAAGAAAACATTTCACTACATACTGTCTAGTATCAACATGGCAAATCCTCGGCAAGACTAGAGCCGGGCTAGGCTCGAGTTGCCTCATTTCAAGACCATTAATCATTTTCCATTGCCCATCTACCATTTCACAACTTAGGATACACATAAAGCATCTCCTGCATCCCCTGGCAGTCACTCCAGACCATATCAATGTACCATTATCACAAGACGAGATTTTGAGGCTCGCACGGATCAGCTAGAGATTACTAGACCTTCGTCTTTGTAGGAACCAACAACAGAAGCCCAGCCTTTTCAATTCACCGATCTGCGTTACAGACCGTGGAATTCAGAAGCCGCTTTATTGTTGCTGTCGATATCAAGCTTGCCTTTCATAATGCCGAATAGCGAACGTCAATTTCAGTCTTCAAATTGGTAACCTTGACTTTGGGATACCGACGGGTCACTGGCCGAAAGTCGGGTCTAATACTTATGACCAGATCTAGTCTGGTTCTGCTGCTCAGATTTGTAAAAGGCTCTGCCTAGGTTCGTAGAATACGCGATGGACCCTAGAGCGTGAAAGAGTTTCTGTCCTTCACAGGGTATCCTTGCAGCGTCTCCCTTTCAAGCTTAATGACTCGATTTTGCGTATTTGTGCAGCTTCCCTTGCTAGTCCCACTCCAGGACATGTTCTCGAAGCATCACTTTTCCAGCCCCATAGCTAAATTACTGGCAAGCATTTCCCATGAAGGTGTACTGTCAGCTTTGCTGATTGCTCTCACTGCTACGGTCACAAAACCATGCAGACTCCTGAAGGTGTCGAGCATTTGCTTCAGCCTACCAGCATCCGGAAGCTCCGCATGCAAAGCGGAACAGGGACTGGAGTCGTCAGAATCGGATTCGGTGTCCTCATCGTCTGAGGCTGCTTTGGCCAGCTTTTCCTGTTTGAAATGAATTGCATGCTTTTGGTCGGCTTTTGTAATTGTGAAGCTACTCTCCCAGTCAGAGGATATCTGTCTGGTAGCATAGGAGGCATGCAGGTCTGAGAAAAGAATTGTTAGATCAAGCAATGATATGATAGCTTGGCGAATAGACGCGTGTTTTTTCAGCAAAAAGCATTGATCTTCGAGTTTTGTAATGTAAGCCTGGTGGACTGCGCTCATACTGTCAACATCCTGAGCTCGATCCATGGCGATACGCATGTCAGCAGTAGCCACTGAAAGGACCATATTAGTGATGTAAGTCAGCATTGTGTTTGTCATCCAGAGGAGCCGGTGGCGAAGTGTGTAAAGTTGTAATAGTGGCTTCTTGTCTGTTGCTTGCACGCTTTTTGCGATTTTCTGCCGCTGGAGCAGATACTTCGCTCTCTGCAATTGCGTCAGGAGGACGAAGACACGCTGGTAGAGTTCAATGGAATCTGTTCTGATAACGTTCGCAACGGGCCAAGGAAGAGTGTACGAAAGCCGAATACCCTCAAGAACGCTCATGGAGCGCCGTGCTCCATTTGACTCCTGTTGGGTTGCTGGACTCGGACAGATCTCAAGCCGATCAATATCAATGCAGGGAATAGATTTGAAAGCCCCTTGGAATAATTCAGTCATAGTGAAGCCATCATTCCATCGAGGATTCCCACGATCTATTTTCTCGAAGATCCGGTTGTTGACGTTGGTGCAGAATGCGCCTTTATCGAAGTAGATATACTCTAAGGCATCCAACGATGACTGCAAGCCACAACGCGAATCAAGTTGGGCACGAAGCTCCAACAAAGATGCTTGATGCTTATTGGCAATCCACCTATCGAGGGCCATGTCGAAAAGCTCGGCGAAAGGACTGAACAGGCCAAGATCCGCTGACAGACAGACAGATTCGTAGGTCAATGCAAGCTCTTTTGCCGGATCTTGTTTCAGATCATGGTGTTCCCACCCCAAACGTCTTAGAAAGTCGATACTTTTGCCAGTATTGAAAATCTTCTTCGCGGCTACATGGAGAAATTTTGGAGCGTGCAAGACACCATTGCTATCTTTGATGAGATGGTATGAATCTTGCCACACGGAGTTCAAATGAACCTTTTTTTTGTCTTCTTTGATGAAGATGACCCCATCGCGCCCTGTGAGCTGACCTTTTTCCATCCACAATCGTAGGGGCTTAAGGTACGTCTGAAAACAGTCGAAGAACAGATTGGCCATGTACTCATAACCTTCTGCATCTCCAATGCCTTGGTTGATACATGTTCTATCGAACAAGCATTCGAGTATGCGGAAAGGCCTTTCGAGCTTTGGATGAACGTCCAATTCCAGCAAAACGTCATATACCTGTAGTAAGAGTCGGCTGATATTGGAAGTCTCATCGTAGAGCGCCAAGAGACTTGGAAATGATTGGGCACCAAGGGAGAGGATCTTGGTTTGTATTGCAGACAAGGCACGATCAACAATCTTTAGGCGTGAGGTAAGGGTCGCTTGAAAAGTCTGTTCGAGTGGAATCCTCTCGTCCTTTCCAACCCACTGTCGGACGCTGAGCAGCTTATTAGCAATTACAGCAAATCCTGCCAATAGACTAGTCAATGATTCATGAGAGGCATGCTCTAGAAAATCCGCTCTCGACACGGTAGTCTGCCCTTCGTCCCCTTGACTGAAGATAGACGTTGGTAACCCAAGGAGTAAGAAGATGACTTCCCGTCCCGCCTGCAGCTCAGTCAAGATCGTCTTTGGCCTACGGTCTTCGTCTTCCTCGCGAATCAAGTCAAACTTATCGGCATCTTGCGAATTCCAGATGTGCGCAATTTGAACTTCCCGAGGCGAAATAGGCTCAATCAGTGTTTCAATGCAAGCTCCGACCTCTTGTCCAATTACGCTGGACTCCGGCGTGAGTACTGAAGGATCAGAGTGAAATGATTCAATCCGCTCATCATCGTCCGAATCATCTGCCGTCAAATCCACATTCTTCCAGATACCATCCTGGTCATCCAATGGGTCTTCAGCTACGATATCGGCCCATGTCAAAGGCGCAGATGGAAGCTCAGGCTTCAGCGATGCCAGATGCGCAAGATTTGGATGGTCAGTTGGTCTGTCCGATAGCTGTAAAAAAAGCGATAAAATCTCCGGAGTCCATCTGTTTGACGTTACGGACAGTTCTGCTCGTCGCAGATCCAAGGCGTCAGCTAGTACATCATTGTTGAGGATCCTCCATTTCTCCTCCAAACCCTCCAATCGAGCAGTGATCTCGAATTGATTGATACGCGGAGAATGACTGTTTGCCAGAGTGCGCAATGCTGAACGCTTACAGCGGTCAACATCAGCCTCTGACGGATCTCCGGTTAAGGCCTTAATCAGTCTATCAACCAAGAAGCTGGTTTCCGCATTGTGTGCCATCAAACTGGAACAGAAGTCAATGGTTGACGTTGGACATTCGAATACCCCAAACAGTTGAAGCGCGACTGGACGCGATATTGAAACTAGTCCATTTAGGGGTTTAGTCTTACGCCCGTAGAATGTGTAGGTACTGGGAGACTTCAGTCTTCCACAAACCGTCTCCACCCAACTACCGCGCAGCAATTGAGAAACCTCTCGAGAGATTATGGGGAAGCCAGTTGAGGCTTTTCATTGTGGCGAATCCTACGGTCTGTTTGCCCTCAACCTCGGTTATCAACAGATAACAACAGAGGCTGTTGGGGCAGGATGTCCGAAGATCTACTTGACGAGATAGAAGCTATTCAGTCAATTTATGGCAACGATGTATTACGAGAAGCAGATGGTGCTTTTGTCTACATCCTATCGATTCCCCATGTCGAGGCCTCATTGCGCGTGCTCTTCCCGTCAGACTATCCTGAGTCAATACCACAACTGCTAGGCATAGAAAGAACCGGGGCGCAGGCGAGAAAGGGTTACGGGAGCCATGTACTAGATACTGCACAAGCAACGTTACTCTCGGTATTCATTTCAGGCTCAGTCTGCCTCTTCGATCTACTGCAGGAGCTTGATACCGTGTTGGCCGAGGATTCCAATGGTCAGCAGTCTTCCCTGGCCGATCCTGAGGATGATGCCCGTCTTGTGCTCAAAGCCGCCCCGCCTGTCACTTGTGGTCTTGGGGAGGAGCCTCGCTGGATTCTCTCCTCAGCCGTCACCGAGAAGAAGTCGACCTTCGTAGCTAGGGCTTGCTCCGTCACATCGCCAGCCCAAGCGCAGGCATTTCTAGCTCACCTCCTCGTGAATGATAAACGAACTGCCAAAGCCAGTCACAACCCAACAGCCTACCGTATCCGTGCTCCCTCCACTGCCAAATCAGCAAGTGAGGTTCTGTACGAGGATTGTGATGACGATGGAGAAAATGCAGCTGGAGGAAGGCTACTACAATTGTTAAAGATCATGGATGTATGGGACGTGCTAGTCGTCGTCAGTAGATGGTACGGCGGGGTCAAGCTAGGGCCTGATCGCTTCAGCATCATCAACAATGTGGCAAGGGAAGCTGTTGTCGAGGGAGGCTGGACGAAGAGCGGGATAAGGAACGATTAGGGACTGCATGGAGAGAGTGTATGCTTTGAGTAAGCACCGTAGTTTTCTCTTCCATGTCGTCCTGATGTTATTTATCACACTGAATCGGGTACTCACTGAGACTCTCCCTCATCATTTCGTGATGCTGGGTTCTATTTTCAGCCTCTCAATTTGTGATTCTTTTTGACAATTCCACGGCTGCTATGCTCTCCAGCAGCTCACGTCTGAGAGATACTCCACGTTGTCAGAGTTTAGGATAATTACCACTGGGAAGGGTGAAACAGCAGCTGAACCTCGGAAGTGCTTGAGCATTGTAAGCCTCGGTATTAAAGCGGTACGGTGTGGTTTGTCGACTTGCTTAGGTCTGTCTATTCACTAAGGGATTTGCTAATGTGAAAGTCCATTTCACCCTCAACTCATTGTGTTCTGGCTTGCAAACTTCATCGCGCGGCTCAATTCGAGGCTTTCAGAAGAGTCTTCGGGACACCGACCGATGTAAATGTTTAAGGCACTTGGTGAGGCGGTGATTACGGCTGGGTGAGCTTGGCCTCATTGGCTACAAACATAGCTCTGGTACGATTGCGAGAAGAAATCGTGTTATGGTGATCGACCCACTATGAGTTTTGTTTATCCGCATGCGCAGAGCTGTCTCATCCCAGACTCATCTGCACCACCCGACGCGACACAATTGCCACGTATTCAGCATGGAGAAATGATTTCGCCATGACATTTGGAGACTTCGGGTCGCAAAGATTTGTCTTCGCGCAACTGGGGTCATCCTAGCTTTCAGATATGCAGCAAGCAGCATGCTCGGACTTTTCATTGCTAATCTTTTCATCAAGTTGTTTGTCGAAATGCGGATTCTTCCTAATAATCTCCATCTGTGCCTCCAGACCATACCGCTCCCGCTGACTTTGTTGGTCTTTCCCGCGCCAGGAGCTCTTGCTGCCCCGAGCTTCGAGACTTTACCACTTGCGAAAAGGCAGGCAACTTGTTCCTGCAGGTCCCTGATCCGTCGAGTTCAGCTGACACCTAGATAGAGCTGTTCTTCCCTCCATCGTGCCCATCGGCTTGCCTACAGTACCGACCAACGATAATCCCGGGTTACCCGTCCTGCCCAGCAACTTCTCGACTAACGGATATACGACTTCGAACAACTCTCTCGCAGCAGCCCAAATATTCGTTTATCGTGTCCCGCACTCCACCATCGAATTGCACGTCAGAACCACTAATCCTATCGACGGCCAAATCCTTGGAAGCACTCTCCTCAGGATCCACGAATTTATCAATGACGAGATCAGTCGTCACGGCGGTGGGCCCCTTGGCCCCAAGGATGACCCCTTCGTCTGGGAGACATCCGGCTCTCCTCGCAACCTGGCAGCAGGCCTCACGACGAACAACTTGCCCTTGAAGCTTACGGTAGAGAGTGTGCCTGGAGAGCATGTGACATGGGTCGTGTTGCTCATTGCGGTCGAAGGGCTGTACTTGTGTTTGCCGGCCGTGGGGAGAGATTTTGGAACGCAATTTGAGATCTGGGACTGGAGATATCAAGCGCAATGGGGGTCTGGAGAAGTGAAGAAAGTGAAACCCGTGACTGGGGAGTCTGTGGAGACGGCAAGGATAAGAAGTGGCGCAGAAGAAGTTATACCTTGAACATTTCAGGCATAAGCTACGATACCAAAGAGGAATACTTCACGGAATAATTTGTTTTATCAAAGATTGAGCCATTTTCGAGAACGGCAAACCTGCCTCATGTCCTCATATCTTCATTAAGCTTCAAATTTTCTCGATGAAGCCAGGCTCTTCGAGCAATGATGTTCTCCCCTCCCTAGACGTAGATTCCCTCCTTTGAACTACCCTTTCGCTTCTCGAACTTAAACGTCTTGATTGCATGGTATGTGCATTCAGAAACCTACAGTTTCCGGCGATTTTGCGCCTCTCAGAAGAGCTACAGGAGGATCTGGTCAGCGACTGGGTGATGGGTGGTTCTGCGGAGCAATCGCTCACATTACTTTTCTCTCGGCTCTTGATAGCTTCATCTGAGCCTTGGGGGCTGGAGTGGCAATAGCAGTGTCGTAGAAGCTGGGCACGGCCCGAAATGACGCGAGACCTTGCAAACGAAGGTTATGGCTCTGCTCGAGGCATGGTCCCCATTGGACAGTCGCCTGTCTCAACTAATTCAGTAAATGAGCTAGGGTGCCGAAATTTCGTTCCTCAGCACGAAGCTGTGGTGTGCCTTGCTAAGTGAATGACCGGCATAGCATCCTCAGCGTTGTAGATCCGCCATCAGGCTTCCGGGAGTCCCCATGTGGGTATGATGGCGTATGTGAAAAGATCAGAGAATGAGGAGGAGGACGAGGAGAAGTATCAAGACAAATATCAGGATGCCAATGCAGCAACTTGACCATGTATCTGAGACGCGATTAGTCGCTTAGCCGCGGGGGTGATTGATCGAAGGTCCTCATACCCTCGTTATTCTTTATGACCCAGCCAACTCTCTTGATGCCGTTCTGCAGCTTGCCTCCCACTCTATCGGCCAGCCTGTCTGCATCTTCGAGCATCTCTCCCTGCTCTTCGAGCTCTCTACCCATCTCGTCTGCTTGCTGTCGTAGATTTCCCACGGTCTTGAATACACCATCTAGCGCCTCATCCTGCTCATGCATCATCTCAACTTGTCTTTGCTGTTCGAAGACGCCATAATCATCGCCGTCAGGTTCATCTGGGTCAAAAGCCGATGGTGGGGGCAGTGTTCCGTTCATGCCTTGGCTTTTGCTCTGGGCGCCAATAACAGTCTTTGCGAGCTCTTGCCGCATACTTTCAACTTCACCTCCGGCATCTTGTACCAGCTTTCGCCTTCGCCCCACCTCATCAATATCCAATCCATATCGGAAAGGATCCCCTTCGACAGCCTTTACGCTGTCTACTAGGTCTTGTAGGTCTGTGCTGAGATCTTGGACGGTGGACTCGAGCTCGCTGCGAGCTTGTGCCAGCTCAGGAGATGATGCGGATGAGGCGAGAGATCTTATTCGAAGGTAGGAGGAGAATAATGATCTCGTGGTCTTCAAAGTGGATAGGACATCACTGAGGAGAATCGTGAGTTTCTGACTGTTTATTGCTTGCGATTGACCTACGCCTGAGCCTGTAAGAATGGGTCATCCTGGCCGGTGAATGACATTATATGGACAGAAGTGAAAGGTACATGCACGTAAAGGCAGATGCACAGTGTCAGTACACTAAAACTTGGATGCCTACCTACGCCATTTAATGTCTCTTGCATCTCGGACTTATGGACTGCCGGACTCTACTAGACTAGTCAATCTTGGCATCAAGGCAAGCCTTGAACTTCAGACCTTGTTCAAAGTCTCATACATGAGCAATTGCTTGGGTAAGTAGGCTGATGATTGTTTTTTAGAGTAGAGTGAAAGCCGAGACTCGAAAGAGGAGTATAGGGAGGAGTAGAGATGGAGTATTTTTGAAAATAGTTTTGGAGATCAGTCGGAGCAAGCTCCTTCGGCGCAAATCGAGTTACTCCAGACCCCAAGTGGCCTCTCGATCGAGACTCGATACCATATTGCGTCCCGGTGGCCTGCAATAGGCCAAACTTTATGATAATGTTTCACCCTTCACGTTGTTAATTGCCTGTTGTCATGGGACTCACTATGGGCAAGGGGGAAGGATGTTTATTGCCAATTTTCTTCTAATTTGCTTCTATGTAGTGAGCGAAATGATACCCAAGTATCCTATTCCCCACCATTCAGACTATATGTACTAAGACCTGCATGCAATCAAAATTCTCACACTGGGAAAAAGGCAAAAGCAACCATCCAGAGTGTATGTACAAGAAAGTGCATGCAATCTAACATTCCACACTGTGGAGGAAAATGCCTTTGGCAATCTTATGAGCTGCTCTTCAGAAGAAGTAGCCGCTCAAAAATTTGGCGCTACGCTTGCCCTTTGCGGCGACCATGTACCCGCCAACGCACTTTGTACCAGCCGCCACAGGTATCCAGGTTACTGTAGATTGTGTCGTGCACGTCCCGATCTGTAATCCGTCGGGCGAGCAGACTGACTGGCCAGGAGTGGCGCAAGAGCCGGTAGAGGAGCCAGTCGATGCCGTGCCCGAGGCAGAAGCTGGTGCAGCGCTCGAGCCAGATGAGCTTTCAACAGCTGCAGGAGCTGAACCGGCGGCGGAAGATGGGGAAGCGGGTGCGGCGGCGGAGGGAGCAGCGGCAGCCACGGAGGGAGAGGCGGCAACAGAGGGAGCAGCAGCAGCCACGGAGGGAGAGGCAGCGACAGCGGGAGCAGCAGCAGACATCGAGGGTGCGGCGGCAGGTGCAGAGGCTGCTGGAGATGATGCAGGTGCAGCGGCGCCTGAAGCTCCAGAGCTACCCGCATTGGAAGCTTGAGTGTCTGAGGAAGCGCTTGACGAGCTGCCAGATGCTCCACACTTGGGCCCAGTCGGAGGAGTCAAGACGTCGGCCTTATTGGCGCTGGCCATTTCGACCGACGAACCAGGAGATGGAAATTTCACATCTGTTGCTTCGGCCGTCGTGCAGTCCGTAACCGGGATGTTTGCGACGAACATGTCAGGGAATGAAGCCGTTGCACGTCCGGCAAGCTCGGGAATTGCGTACTCCTCCGTCTCGTTGAGAGAAGTCTCTCTCTTGCTTGAAGCCCCAGTGACCTTGATGGAGGCACAATTCATGTACATCTCACGATTACCCACCTTGTTGAACCAAGTCCATGCAAGGGTGTAGGCGCCAGGAGTAATACCTGCAGGAATAGAAAAATCGTATGTGTCCGGGTCAGGAGCGGAGGCGGAACTATCTGCTCCAATATTACCCGCCTGATTTCTAGCCGGACAACCTCCTTCGATTGAATGGATAACCATCCACTTAGAGCTCTTCGTTGCAGGCGTGTCCGTGGTAAGAGAAACTTGACACGAACCACCACCATGGACTGACTCACCCAAAAAGGAGAGCTTCTGTGAGGCACCGATAGCCATATTGGTGACTGTTCCACCAGAGTTACTCGTGGCTTTGCACGGGAAGTTTGAACCATCGGCATTGAGGGGACTATTGTCGGGACTGCCGTATGGCGGAGGCGTGGCCATGACCATGTGACCCTGGGCTGTGGAGGCGAAAAGAGCGAGGGCCGAGAAGGAGAGAATGGTCATGATTGAAGACATCTTGTGGTTGGGAATGTTTTGGTGCTTCGTTCCGGACGAAGTGTTTTGGGTTAGCTTTGATCGGATTGATTTGTGACTGTGGTCGTGTGCGCTAGAAATAGGAGTTAAGGTTTGGAAGCGTTCTGTGTAAGTGGTGTGAGCTGAGGAATGAAGGGAGAGAGAGGGGAGGATTGATGGATATTTAAGGGCACGAATGGTGGCCAAAAACAATGGTGAACGCCTGGGTAAAGAACAAATGTGATTGTGCTTAATTCGACAATGAAGACGGTGGGACAATGCTATTGTCGTGTCAATGACACGAAATGGACAACCATTATTGTTGCATTCGAGACAATGACTTCAGAAATTCTAGAATCGAACAAATGAGCTTACCTAGGGTAATTGAACGATACTACAACTGTTCTCTAGTAACAAAGATTGTCTTGGATGACGAAAGACTGTGAGTCTGCCACAGGCACGACCAGGATAGAGAGTAGAATGAACGGAAAGGCCAGCCTCAGAAGAATGGAGATAGTGTAGGAACTCAGAAGGAGATGCATCCAGAAGGTTGGAGAAGAAGAAGAAGTACCTTAAGTAAGAACATTGATCATGTTTCGATTGACTCCTTGAGACAAGAAGCCCCCGTTGCCACAGAGGGGTGAGTATTCATTTGGCATGTGTTAAGGTCGGCCATTGGAGCGGCGACGTCCAACTCTACAGATGGGTTCTGTAAGCGCCAGAATTTCTTCCATACAGTGCTCAAGTACAAGGGATCTAGAGGCGCGTATGATATTCCTCTGTTGTTTCAAAGCATGAGGAAGAAGCTGGCGTCCAAGTAAAGGCTTGTCCCATGATTGTATCTGAAGCACTTCGGCTACGAGGTCACTCTGCATTCTACCCAGAGCATCGTGGCAATTCTGTGCCCTTTCCCCGCGAACCAAGCGTGGCGACGGAATCAGACATCAACGGCGCCAAACGGGGATAACCCCCCCCCCTTCACGGCAGCCAGTCATTGGACACAAACTTGTTCACAGACCCAATTCAAGGCCAAGGATCGAGTGAGTATCTTTAGAGTACAGGTCCTTGTACAAGGATAGCCGACAGCCATTGAATTGTTGAAAGCTAGTGGTCCGAGAGACAAAGATTGAGCCTACCAGAAAATGAGCGTAACAGATGCACACAGAACAACGGCCTAAGTGATGTAAGAGAGGAGAGAACGTGCAGATAAAGTAACAAGTCAATGAAGAAATCGTTGAGGTTCCGAATATAGACATGTGAACAGAGCCAATCAAGACGCGAAGCAGGGATCAGCCGAACATTTAGGCGCCAAGCATTTTTTCGGACTTTGGCGACCTCTGGTCCGCCTCAGGTACACCTTTTTGAAACAACTCATTAACAGGACCGGTCTACGGATCTTTGATTGCATGATTCTAAATATGGCGTCCCCCATGCTCTCCAGGCAGGCTCTTTTTCTTATGGCAGACATTTCAGCGACTACTTAATTACCTGGTCTTTGTCCATCAAAGAAACCTGTTGCACTTTCCCTAACAATTGACCTCAAGCCATTTAGGCCAGAAGCAAAATGCAAAGACGCTTGCTCCAATGGCTGTCGAGTTTGCTGAAGTCGAGGCAAAAAGGGCAAACAAGCAGTTACCGGAAGCTCAATGCTTGAAGGGCACATAGAGAAGAGCCACGGAGCCCTCGTAGCTTCAGAAACTTGAGGTTTTACGGCCGACACCCACGAACAGCTCTCAAGCTGACATCCACAAAGGCAAGAGCGGCCAAGGGACCTGGCAAAATGCCCACCGTCTGTCCTCTCTCGCTCACCTTTCGCTCCTCAGCATAAATGTGGAAGATCTCACGGCGTCTTTGCTTCACGGTGATCAGATACCGCAATGTCCGTCCTAGGAGCATCCGAAACATCCTCCTTCCGTCCAACCCTCCGGGACCTATCCACTGATCCGGGCCCTGTTCCTCTACCCCAACCAGACGACCTCAAGGCCATTCTCGACGCCGAAATAGCCACGCATGCTACCATCCTAACCATAATCGGAGACTGCGAGCGTCAGATCGACGAATCCTCCGCCTCAGTTTCCCCACAAGATCCCACAATCCGCGATCTCCGTCATGCGCTCAGTCACGCTCTCCTAGAAGCTAGCCAGTCAAGAACCAGGCAAGTAACCTTGGGCAAGCAACTTCGCGTCGTGTCTCGGCATCAACGAAGACTTGAGGGGAATACTTCAGGTTTGGGACTTGCCATCGACCGCTTTCTTGAGGCGCGCGATGAATCATTGAGGATGGAATTTGCGGCATCAGCGCAGGTATTTGGCAACGTCGCAAATGGTGCTCGCATGGTCGTGAGACAAGTGGTCTCTCTTTGCGAGGGGATGATTGGCCAGGGTGCTATGATCGGCAGGGCATGGTCGGAGGTGTGGCAACAGCTGCGTGCAGACTTGTCGGAGGAAGAGAAAGAGGAAGAAGGAAATCTGGAGGAACGAAAAGGGGAGGAAGAAAAGGCAGAGGAAGAAAAGGAGGATGAAGAATGAAGAATGAAGAATGAAACACATGGCCAAGTAGATATTAGAGAGCAAACACCCGAGCTTTTGATTTGCTCTGGAGCGGCGGCCGGACAGCTTCTGGCGTCTTGAGGTAAAGGCAGAGAGGGATTTATTGCTAGGCAGTCGAGCATGCATTACCAGTACCAGAATAGGTCATACCAGCGTGATTTCATCAGGATATCAATTGCTACAGGCACTTGTTTTCACGTCTTGCACCCACTGTCCCAAACATCTATCTCTCGACCCTAATGCTTTTTTGTTCAAGAGGCGACAACCCTCGATCAGATACTATTTCGACTTGCATCCAACTGGAAATTTCTTGAATCTCAAGCAATATGTTGCCCTGACCTTGCCGAGAATCGAATATTTTGGCTTGCGATTGATTATTGCGTAATTTATCCCTGGACCTGATACTGCCAGACCAACAAGATGCCTCGAGGGGCTCTGTGGCAGTTGTTTCCCTACATTGAACAGTCAGTAGTGTGCCAAACTCGATGATGAATATCTGCATTTCCATGTCTCCCGTCCAATGTACCTCATCACTTGGTATGCAACCACCAAGGATGTTGTCTTTCAAGTCCTTTGTTTTCAAGACCGATAAAGGTCCTGACCCGGAATCAAGTGGACCGCTAGTCATGTCCATGAGCCATCAGAAAAGAAGAGCGCAGATCTTCTCCGGGAAGAGCAGCCGTAACGCACGCAGAGAGAGTCAACGCGCGAGAATGTCTAAATACTTTCACTTTTGATCATAACTGTGTAAACCATTCCATGTCTCCGCTCTCGTTCAAATACTACGCTTAGGGCACAACCTCCTTCTTGCTCATGCTCTTCCTTTCCCTAGCCTCCAGCACTCCATCCCTCCAAGCCTCGACCTCCTCCAGGGCGTTCATAGGTTCCTTCTTTCTGGTCAAAAGGAAGCCTTGGACCTCAGCAGGCGTGAATTTGTCTTCTGGCAGGCGGTCCGCGAACTGAACTGCAATCTCTTCAATACTTGAGGGCGAGAATGTCGTTGTGGGTGTATTGGCTTGTTTAGGGCTTTCTGGAGGCGTCATGACGTCTTCGATCTTTGCGGATTTTGGCTGCAGAAGACTACCATTAAGGGTAGCTTGGTGAAGAGTTCCGTTTGCCCTAGGTACAGGACCGAGCCTGATCTGCTCCGGGGCCAGGCTGGCAGGCGTATCGGGAGTATACATGCGAGTGAAGAGCTCGCAGATTTGGGATCGAGTAGCATTGGTGAACTTGACCTTCATGTCCACTCGACCAGGGCGAATGAGGGCTTCGTCGAGCTTGTCCGGAAAGTTTGTCGTCATGAGGAGAACTCTGCCTTCGTGAGAGGCGACTCCATCGATGGCGTTCAGCAGTCCCGAGAGAGAGATGCCTTGATTCTCCTTGTTGTTCTTTCCATCTTTCTGTACAGATTTGATGGCTCTGGTAATTTCGGCGCCAATCTTGGCGGCGGCTTCGTCTTCTGGCTTGAGCTTCTCGACTGTCTCCTCCTCTTGACGCTTGCTTAGACCGGCGCTGTCAATGTCTTCCAGGAGAACGACACATCTTCGTGGTAAGCTAGTAAACATCATGCCAAGGTCCTCTTCCGTCAGTGTGGGATCCACGAGGGAGATGCAGTAGATGTCTAGGCCAAAGACCCCTGCAATGGCCCAGGCAAGGCTGGACTTACCAGTCCCTGGGGGACCGTGGAATAAGTAGCCTCGCCTGTATGGAATGCCTCGGTTAGCATACCATCGAGGCGTAGATGGATGTAAATATTCATTGATGTCGACAAGCACCCGGTTCTTCTGCTCATGATCCAATACCACGGTCTCAATCGGTCTGGAAGGTCGAGTAGCAACCTTCATCCATAGTGTACGACCTCTGCCCCTCTGTTCCTTGGGACACGGCCTACGGACAACAGTACAGGACTTTTCCTTGTCCAAGTAATGGTCCCGGGCTACTTTGATGAGATCTTTGATTGGCTTCGTCGAGCGTCCGACACAAGTCAACGTGATGTTCTCTTCGTCTCGCAGTGAACTCCCTCCCCAACCATCGCGCATCACGTGTTTGTTCTCACGCGTCAGCTGGAACAACCTTCCGTTGTGGAAGAAACGGTGAATTCCAAATGAGGGCTGAAACCTTGGGGGAACTTTGGCATCCCAATTGCTGAAGTTCACGAGTTTGCTGGGGTCGAGCTCAGGCACTCCCATGTCGCCGTCGACCAGATCCCAAGCATTTTCCCGTCCGGTCTTGGCCATCAGCTTGCGGGAGTTTTTTGAGACATTCTGAACCCTAATCCATTCCATAACGTGGTCGTAAATGTCGTCGTCGGAATCGATCCTGATGTAGCTCATGAAGTACTCATTGAACTGCTCGGAAGTGTGTTTCCAAGCAAATTTGAGGGATGTAGCCAATCCGAATATGAGGAAGCACACAGAGACGAGTAAGGTGATGTCGAAGCCTAAAGAATCTAGCAAGAATTTTGAGATGATAGAGTAACCGGGAATGAAGGCCTCCAGGATGTTGGCTGGGAGCTGTGTGACGCTAGTAGTTGAGTTGTCAGTAGGCAATTCGGTATGCTTTAGAGCACGGAGAGCATCGTTAATAGCCATCCGAGGCCAACGAGCGCTCTGTGAGCGAGGAAGCTGGCGCAAATCGTGTGCAATGAGCGTAGTCTCACTAAACAGCTATGTCTAGTATGCTCAAAGATCTTGGACAAACGCAGGGTTCCGCGTTTAAGACGAGTATATAAGGACTGTCAAGCAAGGAGATGTGTGAGTAGAAGAAGCGGTCGGTTCCTTTTTGCAAGGCAGAAGTGAGAAGAAAGCACTTGGATGAGGGGCAAACACCGAAGGATTCAAACGTCTTAGAGGCAAACTTAAGATCAAGGCTCCAATTAGATCAGTCAGGGGAGGAAAAGTCAAAAGAGAGTGAGGCTCCAGCTAATGCAATGAATCATGCGACCTCGGAGAATTAACTGTCATACAGGAGAGGACGAATCTAAGGCTGCATCATGGCCACAGCAGCTGAAGCTTGAGCACCTATCCGTTGGCAGTAGTAGTGACCGTTCACGGGCCAGGCAGCGGGCCCAAATGACCTAGCTTTTCTAGTGGCCTCTCAACGTTCTGGCTAATTCCCCGGGCTCCTGCCTATCGCCAACTTACAAAAATGTGCGTTGTGGGATGCTAGAGACGTTGGGAAGGACGAAAAGGACGAAAAGGATGGTTGAGAAATGCTGCGGTGGCTGAAAGCGTGGCGAAACCGACTGCGCCTCAGCTTTCGCGATAATCATCTTATGTCAGACTGCGGCTGTGAGAAGGGACAAAAGGGCCAACTAGAAGGCAGTCTGGAGGAATAGGGTAGTCCGCAGAACGGAGTGTCGCCGGAGAAGCTTCGAGAAAAGGCCAAGGTCTGTGGAAATTCTCATCTCGCGAATCTTGCAGTCATTCGCGGCTATCTAACTAATTACAGCCAATGATCTATGTTGAAAGCTGCGCCTCCTACGTTGCAGAACAATCGATGCTAGGTGTTTCCCCAGAGTGCGCCCTCTTCTCCACGTCAGTCTTGCCGCCACTTCGTAGAGCCAAATCTACCAGGCAGTCGACTTCTTCTGACTGCGAGCTAGTTTCAAATGAACTCTCCACTGACCTGCAGATCCATATCAATTGCAAGCGGTGTTATTGGGACATCTAGCCAGAATTCGACATCGCCATTAATGAATGACCGTTCGGTGTAATCTAAGGTAATCTTCTCCAGCCATGGATGGGCCCTCGGTTTTCAGGGTATGCTATTCTTAGAGCCGGCGGTTTCCGCAATATGCTCTCTGAACATTATTTTTATCGCCTGTTCTGCGTTCGTTATAAGTATTAGACAAAGAAGTCCCGTGAAAGTTATTCTATTCGAAGGGTTCGATATATCGCTTAGTCCAGACCACTTTTCCATCTTTCGGATCCATCACAGTTGCGAAATGTGTTTCTTCATTCAGGATTGGAGAAGAACTCAACCACCGAATGATGCTGTCTTTGGTAACGCCCTGTTCGTGCGTGCTGACTTTCTTCGATGAGTTCCGTTTGGCTCTTTTCAAAGCTGTCTCCCACAAGTTCACCGCCGTCTTCTTACGGTCGATACTCTCTACGACTATACCGTCCAGGAGAGTCTCGAAAGAATCTTTGTGAGTGGCTTTCAAGGATTGATTCGTGTTCTCTTCAGCCGCATCGTGATTGGTAGCAACGATGAAGTCGGTTGCTGACCTGATGACGGCAGTATGATGGTCTTTTTCTATGGTGAGAGTATTTTCGCCGTCGCTAAAGATCAAATACGCTGCAGTAGTCGGGACACTTGGAAGATCGCGTTTGATGGACTCCAGCGCTAAAATATCAATTGAAGAGGTGTCGGATGGCAGAGTAGGTAAAAGATAGCCCCGCAGTAACGAAGATATTGAGGGCTGAAAACCAAGAAGAACGAGAAGGTGATGGGAATAGAATCGGAAATTGGAGAATCTGCCGCTGCAGTCATGGCTTGGCCTAAAGTTGAGAGACACGCTCAAACCCTTTCTGACGCCAGTCAGCACCCCGACGTAGCCGATGTACGTGATGCTCGAGGCCTGAATTGCAATTTCGCAGTCAGTTTTGCCTATTTGAGGGGACAATTCGAGCGTTGGAAGATGTTTCGAAAGTAAACAATTCCCGAGAATGTCTCAAGACTTAAGGAATTGTCCAAAAGAGGAAGAGTGGGCTCCGAAATACGTACAATGACCTCTCCGCCTGGCTTTTCGACGAAGTCTAGATGAACAATGACCTTTCTCAAAGCATCCATACCCCAATCCAGCGTACGGAAATGTAGCATCTTTGTGTTTTTGTCATCGTCTTTCACTCTCACGGCTCCACTGGTGCAACCCATGAACAGGTCAAGTAAGACGTTAAAGGCTACTAAGAGATACATCTCTACGCCAGTAGTCTCCTGTATACCCCGAAGCTCCTCATTCTCTTCTTTATTGTACACTCGCCGAAGTAGGAGACGCGCTAGCCATCTTACTCTTTCGACGGAGATATTCGCGCGTAGATCCTTAACGATTTCGTCGAAGAGAATGGGCAACGTTGCTATTTGTGGTTTGAAGTCCGCTGCTATGTGCTGATAACGCTTTCGGGGTGGAAGAGACAGATCGATCGTGTACCTAGGAGGTTCATCGCCGTCCTCACTTGCATCGCTACCAAAGTCCTCGATAGGCTGATTATTGAGCTTGAGGATACTTGCATTGCGCCCCCGCAAACCGGCAGATTCCATGTTTGCATGAGACTTTTTCTTTTGTCTCCATACGGGTCCGTCAAGAGTCTGATATAGACGCAATTGTCGCGCGCTTGTCGGCATTGGCATTTGCAGGCAACCATCATCAGAATAGATGGCAGTCTTCATTATCATCCTGTCTACATTGAAGCCATTCATAAGATATGACTTGCAACGCAGCGACTACTACTTTCTCTGGCACCGAGCCTACTCCCCTGCCAGTACTCTTCTGTAGGATGTATCGAGATACCTCACCATCCACAATCATACATCGGTCATCTACCACTCGCGGAGTCGGGTAGCAGAAGCTACACTGAGCTTGCTGCCGCAGTCAATATAGTATCTCGTGTAGACGGATCTAACATGAGCATTAGAACAGTTCCTGGCTCTTTGATTAGAGTCAGTAAAAATAACGACGGCCTCAGAACATCTAGGTTACAAATATCCTGAGTTCAATGGTCAAGCCTGAGTTGCTGGGGATCACCGCTAATAAAAGTGAAGCCAACTAGTGCTCCAGAAAGTGATCACTACAATAAGTTTGCTGCGAAGTAACCATTAATGACACTAACAAATGCATATCCACATACAAGTGACGAGACGAGGCTCAAAAAGGTGTGGTTGGCATAATTTGTCTGGTCTTTCAGCTTGACTATCAGTGCTTGTAGCATTTGTTCGGTGAAAACAGTTAAGAATCCTACTTTTGCTCCCATGCCTGAAATCGGGATCTCATGGTTCTTGCAGAAGTACGAGGTCAGGAAAGTGAAAGTCCATAATTCTATCTTTCGTGCGGCAAACCGTACATTCAAGCAGTCTCATTGGGCGGTGGCCAAGGGTCCCCCTCCCCCGCGTAGCTCATCCGTTTACTCAGGACGATGATGAAACACTTACAATTTAATTTGACCAGCTCCTCCGCTCTCTCTCAATCTAATACCTAATCTCCAAAATCGCCCGACTTTGACTTGATCAAACCTCTAACATCACCAAAGCTCAAAGTAGCGTCAAGATCGAAGTCATGTGTTGCTTTCGAGTTGCAGAGGTATTCCTTGAAGATCCTCCGCCTGAGAAGAAGAAGGAAGAGAAAGAGAAAGAGGAGAAAGTGAAAAAGAACTATGTTCTTGTGTCGGATCAGCTAAATCTTCAGCCCATCGTGAGTCAATACCGCTTTTCTGCACCTCCTTTTTCTTGCACTTTCACTCCCCTCCACAACATCCCACACCATCAACCACCACATCTTGGCTTCTTCTACAAGATCCGTAAATCGATAAGCTTTATCTTCACATAAACTTCAGAGGCCATTTCGCAATGGTGTTCTACGCGAGCCAGCAATTTAGCTATCATCCTGAAGAAGGAATGACACCTCAACACCCAGCGGCCACGGATCCCTGGACGAACCCTCCTACTTCGAATTCGTACCCCCAGCAGACAAATGCATGGAATCCCTGGACAAACGGTCCTGTTACTGCCCCTTCTTCCCACACGAGTCATCATTACGTCTATCAACCAGTCTCCTCTAGTGATCCCGGACCTTGTCAGCCGCCAGCGGCGCGAAACCCTTGGACACATCCACCGGCTCCCACTCCTTCAGTCTCGTCTTCATCCAATTGGAGCCACCAGGCTGTCTACAATCCATCTTCCGCAGGCAGTGTAAGGTCCTACCATCAGCCAACTGCCCGCAACCTGTGGACGGACCCCCAATCTTTAAACCTATTCCTTCATGTATTCCGTCATGTTCTGCTTCGCATCTGTTCCCATCGAGTCAAGATTTTTGAGTAAGCTAACATCATTCTCATAGACTTCACCGGCTCCGATGTACTACCCAGGCGGATCACAGGCTACCCAGATTCAGTTCTACTCATCCCAGCCAGCCGCGGAGCCCGCCAACTTCAATCACTATCAGGGACTCACCTCGAAGCAGGTCAATGACCGCAACATTTCCCGCGCTCAGAATCATGGAGGCTTCAATCCGGTCCAACTTGTCCCTCAGAACGCTTCTCCCGACAATGAGTACTATTGCCGAGAGTTAGATGGTACCTGGACCGTGCGTACTGTCAACACGATCATGAATAGCCTGAATCCTGGCCAGTGGGCTTACGCTACCACTGGTTATCCGTACTGGGTTCGCCACTCGAAGGATTAAGGTACGGAAGACTCGTGGATGGCGCCCAATGTAATTCCACCTCGCTGACAGATATCAGTTGTTCTTGGTTGCTCCGACCTTTTGTCTGGAAATCCAGACTCTACAGCTTGCGTCTAACATGGATCGTGTACGTTGCTTGGTGGAGACTCTTGATGGATGGCGATGCTACACATTCTGCTGGTGAACTGATCGTGAAGGCTTGGAGTTTCCTCTATCGATGAGCAAGCGATGTGGCTAGTCAGGACTATGTGATATCATCTGGCTCACGTTGCTCAAGGCCAGGCTTGGCCAGACTCCCCCAATAGCAATATCTTAAACCATATCACAATCAAAACCCCCCTCAAAACTTGCTCTCCCCCGCTCGATGTGCATCTGGCGAGACAAATTGCGCTTTAATGATTTCAGCCCGCCGTAAAATGGTTATCTAACGTCATTGCCACAGAGCAATCTCGACTAAAGATCCTTATGCGCTTTCCTTCTTTGCCAAATAGCTTCTTCCTCCAGCTCCTCTATTCCGTCATAGTTCTCGCCCTACTCTACCGGTCCTGTAGTCCAAAGACTTGCCCCGCCATGGCGACGACGTACACCCAGCACCACCTAACGCTCCCCTCCCTCGGTCGTGGCTCGCACCTTATCACCGACCATATCGTATCTTCGCTACCCCAGATATCGGGTATTAAATGCGGGCTACTGCACCTGTTCCTACAACACACGAGCTGCGCGCTGTCAATGAATGAGAATTGGGATGATGATGTGAGGGCGGACATGAGTGATGCTTTGGACGGGATGGTGAAAGAAGATAAAGGTGCGCTGGAAAAACGAGTAGCGTGGAAGGAGGAGCGCTTTACGTGGGGGCATCAGAGTCAGTTCTGGGTCACGGCTGACGGATTGTATGGGCAGCCGGGAAAGGAATCTACAGGCACGATGCAGAGGGGAGCGATGATATGCCAGTATAAGAGCCTCGAGTCCACTGCATGAGCGGAGATGGCTGATTGGGCGACGTTACAGGCACATATCAAGTCGTCTCTGATAGGCGCGAGCGTGAGCGTACCAATATCAAATGGAAAACTCGCCACAGGGACCTGGCAGGGCATCTGGTTTCTGGAATTTCGGAATATGAAGCAGAAGAGGAAGGTCCTGGCTACGATACAAGGGGAGAAGATGTGAGAGATCTACGGCATGAGACACGAAAGAAGAGTAATAAAGATAAGGCAACAAGGAATCAGGCATGACTGTGACCTGCTTGATGGACAGGCTACAATCTCTGAGTTCCACATAGACTGTGGTCATTTCTTGATCCCCACCACCACCAGATTTCGTGGACTTTGCTTATAGTCAAACACGGTCTCAACCCAGCATTCTCTAACTTCTGCCTGCTCCTTGAGATACAGCCACCTATCCACCACAATACTTGACTCCACAACGCTTGCGCTGAAGGCCATCAAGCTCCAAACAACACTCAATTCTTTCTTCTTCTCTTTGAACTTGTCTTCATAGCGCGATATGTCCTCATCGATCAAACCCTCCATACGTCTTTGAATTGCAATACCGCGCTCCTGATCGTCCGCTAATTTGGTGATTGCTCCACGCACATAGGCGGTGAAGGAAGAATAGCAAACTTTGCGCAGGGAGCCAACCGTGAGAGCTGGGCCAGCTCCAGTCCAGCCGCGAGGACCCCCACCATCCCCGTCGCCCTCCTGGGTTGGCTTTTCGACAATACCATGGTCCAGTAACATTCTTTGGAGCAAGGCTCGATAAAAGTGTCTTGTGAAGAAGGACTCGCATTCTGTGGCAGTCCAATTCTCGGGTGCTTGAACGGCCATCATCCGCGCTGTGATGTTCAGGCGTATACCTTGGCCAAGCTGGTGCTGGTACATAGCAAGCCTTTCCGACATTGGGAAGCCATGTGGATCGCATGTCGATGAGGTGGCGTCGAGACGCATGTTGGAAGAACGCAAAGACGGCAATTTGTATGTTGGGGGCCCAAGCCGCTCCGTTACGAGATTGTAGCAGCAGCCTACCATGGCAACAACTTTGACGGATGGATTAAGGACCAGAGATCGTAGTCCGTGATGCAGGAGATTGCCGCAGGAATGGAGAGAGATGACCATCAACTGTGGATCTGGTTTGATCATGCCATCCGGAGTATTGGGAGCACATTTGATCTCGTGTACGACCGTTGCTAGGTCTCCATTCTGAATGAATGACTCGAGGTACTGGATTTTGCCTTTGCTTTCGTCTGGGTTTGCTTGACTGGCGGAGCCGTGAATATTGCCGTTTACTGGTGCTTGCGAGCTGCTACTAGATTGTACGATTCCTGGCTGAGAAGCGTCTGGATCATGATTTGTGCTCTGCGAGCCCTTTCTATACCGCTTTTTGTTGCACATTATCTTTTCCTTCTCGGTCAATCTAGCCGTTATGTCCATAGTTTTAGCCTCGTTGATGTTATGTTGTTTACTTTCCAGGGCTATCACCTGTTTATTGTACGGAGGACTCGCTAGAGCTCGACCGAGATAGTTCTGACCTGAACCAAAGTCAACAATATGTGTAATTTTATGACCGTCAGTGGTGTCCATATCAGCGGTCAGGCCATTGATATACTTGACAAACTTTTCAACTTCGTGAATCTTTTTGGGTTTCATTCCCACTGCCACATGTCTAGGGAGGGGACCAATCCCTGTAGACGATGGTGCAGCAGATGCATCAAGGGGTCTGAAATCTCGATTCAGTGCATGCCTACGAATCGCTTGGATATACTCCAGCAGACTTGTGGGAGGACATGGACCATTCCGCCATGTAGAGTTTGTGCCTTGCTTCTCTGCAGACAATGTATCTATTGAGCTTTTAAGAGATTCGAGGAGACCATCATCTTCCCTCATCAAGAGGTCGAGGATGGCGGGGATATCATGCAACTGAAACCAAACTCTCCATTCTTCTGGGAGAACAGTACTGTAGAGATCCGGCTCTTTCGTCAAGAAGTCTAGTATATGCACACCACCACAGAGATTTTGGAAGAGCTCCGAAGATGTGACAAATGAAAGCAATGATTTCACATAAGCCTCGGCATTGTCAAAGTCGGAGCTGAGTGGTAGGGGGCATTTCACTGGCATTTCCAGCGTCGTTCCAGCGCATGTAATTTGGGCTAAATCACCAAATGTTTTGTACTGCTCATTACTTCACGTGAAGGTAGAGAGACTAGAGGGTAGACGGCGAGGCGGGCTTGGCGACGTCTCGCCTAGATCCGAGCTAAGTCCTTACAGCTAGCGCACTTTTCTTCCGCCCACAACCAAAACTGAGCAAAGCCCAATTCACAATCAAACGAAGTCGAGACAAACCACCGCAGCAACGATGGCGACACGTCCGACAGTCACCATTGCCTCGCATGATGGCACCCCCAGTGGGTCTACTCACCCGCTGCCCGCCGTGTTCAAAGCACCAATCCGACCAGACATCGTTCAGTAAGGCCTTTGACTTCATCAAGGGCACACCGAATGCAGAAACTGACGACAGCTCAGGACAGTACACGCTGGCATGGCTAAGAACAAGAGACAGCCATATGCGGTGAGCGAGAAAGCTGGTCATCAGACTTCGGCTGAATCGTGGGGAACCGGTGAGCGATAAGTCTACAGCTTGAGTCTGAGCACATAAGGAGGACTGACATGGGCTTTTTCTCAGGTCGCGCTGTTGCCCGTATTCCCCGTGTTTCAGGAGGAGGTACACACCGTGCCGGTCAAGCTGCGTTTGGAAACATGTGCCGCTCGGGTCGTATGTTCGCGCCAACCAAGGTCTGGAGAAAGTGGCATCAAAAGATCAACCTGGGACAAAAGTACGCCGTGGAGACAGGATCCAGAGAAAGGTAGAGCTGACAGACCAACAGGCGCTTCGCTACCACCTCTGCTTTGGCTGCCTCCTCCGTCCCCTCTCTCCTCCTTGCACGCGGTCACCAAATCTCTACCGTACCAGAAGTGCCCCTGGTTATCGCCTCGAAAGCTTTCGAAGGAGCTGCTATTGCCAAGACATCAGCAGCGCTTAAACTCCTGACAGCTGTGGGTGCAGGACCAGACGTCAGCAAAGTCCGCGCATCTCGCAAACTCCGTGCCGGGAAAGGAAAGCTTCGGGGTCGTCGTCACCGCCAGCGTCGTGGTCCGCTGATTGTCTACCACCCGGATGAGGATGGCAAGGAGCTCGTCCGTGCTTTCCGCAACATCCCAGGTGTCGAGACGTCATCCGTTTTCGCCCTCAACCTTCTGCAACTTGCACCCGGTGGTCACCTCGGACGCTTCATCGTCTGGACCTCTTCTGCTTTTGCGGCGTTGGATGAAATCTATGGTTCTACGACTACCCCATCCGCGCTGAAGAAGGACTTTTTGCTTCCCTCAAACGTCGTCCACAACGCCGATATCAGCCGCCTGATCAACTCGTCGGAAGTACAGGCCGTCGTGCGCCCAGCTAAGGGAGAGGCCAAGACAAAGCGTGCCGGGGTACAGAAGAAGAACCCTCTGAAGAACAAGCAAGTGTTGTTGCGATTGAACCCATATGCCAAAGCGTTCAGTGAGGAGAAGCTGGGATCGAAGAAGCTTGAGGACGGCAAACCGGAGAGAGCAGCCGAGTCATTTGCAAAGGTCCTGCATGAGGGTTGAGCTTGGTAGCGTATTTTACTACGGGAAGCTGCAAATCCATCTTGCAGATAGCTTGCAGAAGAGATAGATCGAAAGCCGAAATGAATGAAAGTCTTTTACCCATCGACAACGTCTTCGAACCCTGTCGCTCTCGGCTGCCCACGATTATATGACCCCCTGTTTTGCCAATCAAATCATTCCCGATACACGATCGACCGTTCTCCCCCTGCCCTCTACATCTACCTGTTTTGAAGCGAATGACCTACCGCGTTTCCGTCACTTCCGGCGATGACGAAACCGCAGCCTTCGAGCTTTAGCATGGCTAAAATAAGACAACAGTAGGAGCAGGCTTCAGAGTCTTGAATCCTGTTCGAAGAAAATGCCTGCAGCGGCGGTGACAGGGAGCCACTCGGGCATCGGCCATGCCTTCGCAGAGATCCTTGTCAGAGAGGTATATTCACTCGTCGAGCCACTCTTATACTGCATCCAAAGCAAACCCAGGGTTACCAAGTCCACGCCCGGGACATGACTGTAGGAGAAAGCATGAAGAGCCGAGGATGTCAAACCCACGAATGCGATGCGAGCAGCGAAGCCTCAATCCAAACGTTCGCCACGGGGTTCAAGGGAAGGCAAGCGGATCTCATTTTGAAAATTGCCGGTGTGTTGCACCTCGGTATCTCCAAAAGAATCCCAGTCCCAGGTTTCATCGCTGATGCCGTTCGTCTTCCAGGCATCATGGCTCCTCACGAGCAAGATACTCTGGAACCCACCACGCACAGCGTTCTTCTCCGCACCTTCTCTACCAACACGTTCGCCCCCCTCCTCCTTACCCAAGCACTACTCCCCTCCCTCCTTCTCTCTCCGCATCCCCGTACCGGTCTCGTGTCCTCCCGCGTCGGCAGCATTGCCGATGACAGCTCCGGCGGCTCATACGCCTACCGTGCCTCCAAAGCGGCCCTCAACAGTGTCGGGAAGAGCATGGCGATCGACTTGGAGGAGGAGGGCGTGGTGGTCGTGCTGATGCACCCGGGATACGTCAAGATCGGGTTGGACACCAGCGGGAAGACGCATCAGATGAAGGAAGCAGTGGAGCCAGAAGAGGCGGCGGAGAAGCTGTGGAAGGTCTGCATGGGAAATGGCATTGGGGAGACTGGGAGGTTCTGGCATCGAGAGGGAATGGGATTGGATTGGTAGAGCGCCGCCGCGTTTTTCCTAAAGCCTTGGTGAGATAGGGTCAGCAAGTCGAACCTTTCCGAGAAGTGCAATGTGTCTCACAAGACCATTCGGGATCATCCGAGCTATTCACGTTGTGGGCTGTCAGAACCAAGGAAGCCGAGACACTCGGACGGATTGAATCAGCAGTCAGCTGAGTGCCAAGAGGAAGGTACCACACCAGACTGAGATAACTTGGAAGTGCCATCGGATCATGACTTGAAGATGAAAGTATTCCTTGCTCTCTCCTTCAAGGCTGTGACTCGCCAGCTTTCTTTGCTTTCCACAAGACCAACCTGCTCCTTGGAACAGTCTGCGTCATCATGCAATGGAAACAGTAGCCAAGGGATACAGAAGTTGAGACTCCTCTCAGCTCTCAGGAATGAAACATAACCTAAGGTAATTGTATTTGTCTGTGACATTGCACGGGCCTGTTTGTGATTGGACGCAAAACTCAATGCCACAGGGTTTCTGATACTGTTTCGGAGGTGGAATTGTGCCCAGTCACTAGAAAAGCGAGTATCATGATCTAGACAACAAAAGCAATAACGCGAAACTGGGAATCAATCTCAGAGAAGCCCTTCTTCTCTCGATTGTGGTATTGTATTAGATGCCGATTGCACAAAATCGACGAATTGCAGAGATGAGACGGTATCTATCCATGCGGGAAGGAGATCGCGCCCGAGCTCTCGACTTTGCGCTTGCTATCCACAGCTGGCTCGGTGCTCCATCTATCAGATAGGGAAAGAGAGAGCTTCATCAGACCCGCCTTCGCAACGCTGCAGCGGCAGAGCAGCTACGGTCCAATAACCATCGAGTGTCACTAGGTCACGTGGACGATTACCCGAAGCCTGCGGAGCAGCATCCAGCAAATCCCCAATGGTAGCCCGCTCGGCACGGCCGGCCTTCGTCCGCCGGACGGGCATGTGTTGCCGGGCATGTCTCGTAAGGACCCCGATGTACCGCAAGATGGTACTCACGAGGCGTGTAGATCCGGGACAGACAGTGCCGGGAGGAGTGGGTGAATGGATGTCTCGATGGCAAATGTGAAGATTGGGGTCCCCCTTTCTTCTCGGGCGAGAACGATTTCAGAGCGTCTAACGCTGGGTGGTATGACCAGTTGGGCTCACTCTGCCATGGCGTCTACACTCGATTCTTTTGAGGCCTTCTCTGGGCCACCTGTCTATTTGACCCCACGTATAAGGTATGTAGTGCTTTGGATTTGTGAAAGGACAAAAGGCGAGACGTCGTGAAGCATGGCAACTGAAACGGTACGGATTGTGAAAAGGATTGATAAGAACAGCAGCAACGGGGAAGTTTTGTCGTCCTCAACGCCCTTTTTTTTGAACTAAGCCGAAGGGTTCACGCATGAAAATTGTAGCGTCTCTGGTATTGAATGGTACGATGTCCATGTTGTATGGAGAAGAATCAAATGTAGGAAAAGTAAGATAATTTCAGCAGGCTACCTTCAATACGTATTTCCACAATTGTGACCCCGTTAAACTTTTCATACTTTACTGCTGTCTCTCTTTTCCCGTTTACTCTGATTGCATCAAAGACTTGTTATCCTGAGAAAAGACCCTGGTCTGCCTAGCCATGATACGTCTGAGATGCTACCCGGGTCGCTCCTCCACTATGTAGTTGCGACTGGCAAGAATCTCAACCGCCGTGGATTTCATGTCCAAACTCAAGCGCTGCGTCAACTTGGCAGCAAACATTGTACGATTGTCCATTCGTGGCACCACCCTGCCCCTAATCAATTCCTATGAAATCAGCCCAACTACCCGGCCACCTTATCACAATATGTTCTCTTTGCAGACTCCATATCTTCTGGATGCCTGCGATACATGTGCCCAATCAAGTGCTCTCTCAATCCCCCATCGACAACAGTACCCGCCGGGCGCGAGAAATGGCAGATAGCACATTTTGAGTACGGCGGATCGCCTATCTCATGCTGACGCTCATGGCGGTCTCGATCATTGGGGTGGTCGAAAGAACTGTCGCAGGTGGGTACGAGGCAGTTGTATGGGTTGCGGTTTGTGGTTGGAGACGATGGGGATACGTAACTTCCTGAAGGCGAAGATGAGGCTATTGGCGTGTATTGTCCCGGAGGGATACTGACGGGCGGCGGCTTTGCGAGGACATTGCGGAACGACAATTGTGGGGAACCGGATGGGGAGACGGGGCTCGAGGTGGAGGTGCTGGGTGGGGTGTAGAGGGGCGTCGGAGCTTGTTGGAAGGATACTCGTTTGGATGATTTTCTTTCGGAGTCGTCAGTTGGTCTGCTGTCATAGGTTGCCGACGCTCTTGTGAGGGAGGGTCGCGCTGGGAGGGGTTGTAGAGGGGGACGCGGTTTGTATCGTTCCGAGGGTGGGAGTTTCTCTTGTGGCGCTGATCCTGGCAAGTTCGAAAGATACTTGGACATGGTAATATCCATGGGACCGGTGCTTGGGTGCTCGCCTATGGAGTCGAGCTTGCGCACTTCTGTGGCTGTCGGTACATTCTCGTTCTCAGTATAGTTTGGGGATTGATCATCATCATCATCATCACCAAGTTCTATGTGGTTCGCAGCATGGTTGTGCGGCCTTTGGCCAATATCTTTACCAGACCCAAAAGACATATTGGGTTGAGCAAAGTCAACGTCTCCCTCCCCGTGTGCTTTCAATACCTCGTCGTGATCCTGCTCGCAAGCATCGTCAGTGTCTTTCACCTTGTGCGTGGTCGACACTTCCCCGTCATCCTGCTGATAGCGGACATCAGTCTGCTCGTCCAATATGCCAGGAGACCTGACTTTGTCCCCGTCAGCTCTGATCAAGTCGACGTTTCATATCTGAAGGTGAAGGAGCAACGGACCGGGCTGCAAATTTTGAAACCAAGGCGGCTTCTCGTATTCATCACTGCCCCTGGACTCTTTTTCAGTCAACTCATTCGCGAACTCATACGCGGGCGCCGAATTGCCCATGGGAACGACCTCATCATCGCGGGAGTGTGAGTCTCTGAGCGTTTCCTCCTCGACGCTGGTAGTCGTAGTCCAGGCATCCTCCTCGGGAGCGCCCTCAAGGGTTGCGTCGCCAGTATTGTCAGCACTACACCAGTCACTGTGGGGCCAAATGCGTGCCTGGAAAGTGGTTTGAGTGCCTCGAGAAATGTAGCGACCCGGGGGCGGAATGACTGGCTCGTTCCCCGTATTGTAAGAGCACCCTCGAGCTAGGACAGGTCGCCGGCTGATTCCAGGCAATGCGGAAGGCTGATCGTTGGAGGACATCGGAGGTATTAATATTTGCTCCTCTGAGGTATGCTGCCTCCCACTGCAATGGCTATTGCCGTCAATCGAACTACGAGGAGCAAAGTTCACTGGCGGGACTTCGGCAAGAAGCCTGTTGGGGTTCTTCATAAACTGCAGGATGATGTGCATATACACCGTCTTTTGCCTAGGTTTTGTGGTCTCCTTTTGCTTGTAATCACGGGCATGGTAGTTTCGGCCATTGTTGCGGTTAGAAGCCTTCCCAGAATCTCTCGGCACTCGTTCAAGCCTGAGCTGGGCCACTTCGAAATGGCCGAGCGAGGTAGTGGCATTCCTCTCCGTGATGAATCTGTCGATGTACTGCCGTTTTGGACCATGGCAATCTTCGAGTTCTCTGCAAGCGGTACGGCCACTCTGCCTTTGTCTGATTACCTCTGCATGGAGGTCTTCCTGGGTTGCCGGTATCGACTTCTTAGGTGGAAGTAACCATCTTTCTTCACTGGACGTTAAATCATCTGGCCTAATGGTGTAAGCCTCATAGTATGGAACCGGCACAAGATTGGTCTCTTCAAGAGGAGGGCCGAAGGGAGTTGCACGGCCATGATGCTCGGAAATTGAAGGCTTTGGGGGTCTCGGGTGGCCAGGATGTTCTGAAAGGGGAGGCTGGAAGGTAGTGGTTTGGCCATGATAGCTGTTGTGAGTAGCAAGAATGGGACGGGTATTTCGACGGTCCCAGGGAGCGGCCATGATCTTTTCCGGCAGAAAGATTGTTCATGACAAGGGTGACCGTTGGCTTCGAGGGTTACAATAAAGCCTTGGAAATTTGTGGAACTCATGAATAGCGTAGGATGCAAGATGCAATGAAGGATTGTTGGGCCATTACCGACCATAAAGCCCAGCGGAGGATGTTCCAGGCTTCAAATGGGAACAGGTGCTGGTGACTCGGTTCAGGTGAGATGGAGAAGCTGTACGTCAATATATTATTACTATTGGAGCAAAGCATTGATGAAGGACGCGTGCAGGCCTGTTGGGACGCCTCGCATATTCGCAGGCAACCTTGCCATTATCGTGATGCAGGACACAGGCCACGTGAAGTTTTAGTTTGTATCTGCAGTGTTTCTAAGTGGTGAAAGGATGGTGCCATGAAGACAATTAGTACATGGGCATGGCAAAGTCATCTGTCAGCTAAGATGGAAGGCAGTTCCGAGAGGTTGAACAAAGGTACAAAGATTGTCCATCTTCACTGGACAAGTTGGCAGCAGTAAGCAGTATTATTGACGCTCCAGTTGTCTAGACATGGGCGTTAAGGGTGTACAGTAAGGTAGGTAAGTATTCTAGTCGCCTGCTATGTCAGAAGTGGAAGGCAAACTTCAGAAAAAGAAGGGCTGAGGGAGCAAGATGTTACAAGTAAGGTCCAGTACTCGGGGAAGATTGATTGTCTTGGATATGATTTAGTATGTAATTGGTGGCCGGTAAGAGAGGATTCAAGGCCTTCATTCTTCTTCAGAGCTGCTCTATTCTTTGATGATTACGAGTACCCTTAAACACTCATGCAGGTGCAGGTAGAAAGAGCAAGACAGTGGTCAAAGGGTGTATGCTCCGACGGGAGATTGCACACCTGAAGCATACGAGTAATGCGCTAAACCTAAAATGTGTGTAGCCTATCATTTTCTTCATTATTCACATACTCCAACGTAGTAGGCTTTACTGCACACAACAAACCTCTCCAGTACCAAGACAACATCACAAAGGTTGGAGCCTCTTCAATTTTCTTGCTATGTAAGCTCAAAAGTCATAGACTAATATCACCGCTCAAGCATGTGGAGAATGCAATCAAGCGTAAATTGAGTCCCAAAAAACCGAAACGTCCTGTCCCTGACTCCCCCCAGCGCCTTGCTAAAAGTCATGTAATCACACGAGATCACCGAAACATCTCAAGCCCAGCTGGGGATTTCCCAATGGGCCCATCGAACTCCAATAACTCCATTCATCTTCCATTCAATTCTCCAAGTGCTTGCCAGCATTTCTCTTCCTCATCTACCCTTTCATCACAGATACCCCATCCACAGCGCATCGGTTATTGCCAACGCCGCCGGATTCACCGCCCTGGCCACCAAATCTACAACCGTCTGATTCGCCGGCAACACCCCATCTGGCGGTCTCGCAAGGCTCACCGCCTTCTTCACTACCAGCTCGCAATTCTGCACCGTCGTCTCCCTCAGCGCCCCTTCCGCCAGGATATTTTTATGCTGCTGCGTGAACCAGAAGATCATTTCATCCCGCACGAAGATGGACAGCTGTTGCTCGAGTTCGCTGCCACTTTCAGGTTCCGTGAGGCAACGCGCGATTGCCATGATGGCAGGCGAGAAGAGTCCCTCAGTTGCCAGTGGGCCCATGAGTTTTTGAAGGTTGGGTGTCAGCCGGAAAGGCACGGGCTCCGAGTTGAAGAAGTGGGGCTTGTGCGACATCATGGATGGTATGAGCTCCGAACCCCATACATTGCCCGTCGCACGCGAGATGGAGAGCTTGTGGGGGAAGCGGCCAGTCATGTGCATGATGTAGGTCATGAACGTGAGAGCAGCGAGCTGGTACGAGAACTGGCGGCGGAAGAGGAAGAAGTCGGAATAGGAGGGATAGGTCGCTTGGAAGTAGCTGAGTGCGATGTCGTTGGAGACCCATTTGCTCTGGATAGCCGTGAAAGTTTCCGTGCGGAGGGAATGACTTTGGCCTTGATCCATTTGGTTTGGCGCCGCGGGCCGAAGCTTTTCCATAGTGAAGAGAATGGGATCGTCCTTGTTCTGGCTATTGCGCCTACAATGGTCTTCGTAGACTCCCTGAAGTGAAATATAAGAAGGGTCGTCCTGTACTAATCGAAGTGAAGGTGAGAACGGGACCATGAGAGGGAGGTAGAAGTTAAGGTTGCGTCGTCGACTTTCTTTTCTCTTCGATAAAGTGCCGTTGAAGATCCGGAAGAGTTGTAGGATCCGCTCTTCTCTCCTACTGTGTCTAGCGGCTGGATGCTGTACAGCGAAAGGATGTGTACTCCCATCCTGACCTCGTATCTTCAACCGCCGATGTGAAAAGCCGACGGTACGTACAAGCTCGACATTGGGCAAAAATCGCTCTATCCTGACGAAGTCCTGATTCTTATCGCGGTGCTGCAGGTATTGCCCTGGCACTTCAACCTCATCGAATTTCTGAAATCTGAATTCGCTCAGTGGGATGCTGTATGTCTCCAGACTAACTGATTGAGGTCGACGATCAAGCTTTTCTTCGAACTTGTCCCTCCATTTCCGCAGCTTGTGAATGTACTCGTACATGGTGGGCTTCTTTGCAACAAAGTCCTCCTCGAACGAGCTTCGGATGTGAGGGGGTAGAATGGTCTCAGCGAATTTGCGGATGTTCGCTTCTGTGGCTGGGGGTAATTTAAAGTCTTGGGCGTATGCACTTGGGTTACGTCCGATGTACTGTGGGTGGTCAGTACTCAAGTGAACTAGTATATCTCGAAATGAATGGCAACTCACAGATAAGCCATCATTAAGCAAGGCGACGATGAGCCTATAAGCATCCTCATCAGGTGGACACTTGAAATGTTTCTGTATCTGGTCCACCATGGTCTCCATCGAGAGCGCGAGCAAAGGGAACGTAGTCTTCAATACAGACATAATCTCATCGGAATGTTCCCATGGCTTCTTTGGCGTGGCCTCAGGCTCTGCATCAGGAGCTGCTGGACCATCTCCATTCGGCTCTGGCTTTGGCTCTGCCCCATTAACCTCACCGTTTGGAAGTGGTTCTCCGTTTGATGTACCTGGACGCGATGAGCTGCCCTGTCGGTCAGAAGGCGTAGCGTGATCGTGCTTGACGTTGGGAGATTGTTGTTGCTGTTTGGCCCTGCTCATCTTCTCTTGCCTCTGCTCTTGTTGCTTTTTGATCTGCACCATATCCTCTCGAGTCGTTCTCAACAAGAAATACAAGGACTGCGGGTAGGCCCTCGCGATCTTTGTCAGTACGTTGCGGACGAGGGTAGCCTCACGGTGACCAAGGCTTGTAAGCAACTGCGGTATGAATGTGATCCAGTACCACACTGGGGTATCGCCTTTGAACTCCTCGAAGGCTTGCGATATCCGGTTCTCGGGGTTGTCAATGCTTAGAAGCCACAAGATGCGGCTCAGCAATTTTCGTGATTTGGCGTTCTTGTACAGACCGGCGGCTTCCAGGTAGCAACTCATAGCATTGGCAGCCCGTTCCATGTTCGTGGGCTCTTCCTTGAACATCATGTCATTGTAGTAGCCCCACTCAGCCCAAGCCTTTGGTAATCGAATATCGTAGTATAACGCGGTACCAAACGCATCATTGGCTTCATCCTTTTGTTGGAGCTTCGCTAGAAACATGCCTTTTAAAGTGAAAAACTCGGCTTTCTGTTGTTGACCAAAGTAGTTTAGATTCGTGTTGTTGATGACGTCGAGACCACTGTGCAACTCGTTGCGATTCTGGTAGTGGCATTTGGCTTGCTCCCGCAACTTCAAAAAGGCTTCCTGGATCTCGATGTTGGGCAGCGTGTAGATCTTACCTAACTGGGCGAGGCACACCTCTGGCAGTTGGTGCTTTCGAGCTACATGCGCAAAGCGGTTGATGATCCAAGCAGTTTCGTGATATCCTCGGTATGCATAGGAATTACCTGTGGCGTTGGTCTGTTGAGGTCCCAGAAGGCCCAGATATGTTCGATTAATGAGAGCGAAAATATGCTGTCGCCAGGTCACCAGATCCTGCCAGGCATTGATGTCGTCCCAAACGTTTGGCAGTCGATCCCGCCATGTACCGAGCAGAAGCTTCAGCTCCTGTGATTTGCCATCGAGATTGGCCTGTGTGGTCTGCGAAAGACTGATGCAGATGACATTGGCGTCGTGAAGTTCAACTAACTGCTGGAAGTTCTGCAAGATCGGAATATGTGCATTGGTGATACGCTTTGGAAGGCCATGCCACTTTCGAATGGAAAGCTGTATGGATTCGTCGCAGATGCGGCTGAATTCTTGAGGCGGCTCCTGTTTCTCGTGGAATTTGAGCAAGGACATGAATGCTTGGAAGAAGGTTCTTCGTGGTGTTGGGGCATCAGACACGGCTTTGATGATCGAGCTGAGCTGTTCCATATTCTCTTGGCCGGTCCAAGTGTCAAGGTGTCTCCATGAAGCTTCCAGTAAGAGATCGTTGAAATTCTCGTGCTTGGCGAAATCATACAATATTTCCCACTGCTGAAGCTTTTGCGCGCATAAAATCCAGTGGTCTTCCCAAAGCATGTACTCGCCCTGAGAATATGAATGTGCTCCCGTGCGTGCTTTTATCTGCGCAGCCTCGTACAACTGTTGAGCCTTATCCCACATGCCATTTTGTTCGTACGAGAGGGCTGCTATGGTCTCTACAAATCTGGATCGACGTCGCCATGTTCCATAAAAGAAGTCGTCCTCTTGAAGACCGGCATATACTTCAATTAATGCGTCTGAGTTACTCTCACGAACGGTAGGGGTATCGATGGGTGAAACCATGACTTGCTCCTCGAGCGACATTGCAGCGATGTACCAGGCATCGTATGTTTTGCTAAGGAATTTCATAACATGAGGTGGTATCTTGCATTTCGGCTTAGCTCGAACACTTCCCTCCAGAAGAGCCTGCACAACATTTGGCCGCCGGTCGACTTGACGTTGATGGTAGTCCTTCGTTAGGAGGGCTACCATGCCTTTTTCGAGCTCGCCTCGGTCGTCTCGGGACAACAAGGACCAACATAGGGGGAATATTGCAATCCACAGTTCGTAGGCGACAACTGAATCAGTGTGTTGCAGCTGGCAGAGGGGCTCAAGGATGTCACGAGCTTTCACATCTCCAAGATCGGAATAGAAACGTCTGTGAGACGCCATGAAGTCCTCGAATTTATCGTCAAGCATGAGATCATCCTTTCGAGACTCGTTGCCGGAGACAGGGAAGAGGTGAACCGGTGGCATCATCTTGAAGTCTTCTGAATGTAATTGAACCGTAGTGTTCATGTCGATGGCGCCGAAAATCAGCTGGAGTGCTTGACTAAGCCAGAAGCTCTCAGACAGAGTGTCCCAGTTCTGCGAGGTGAGCACGTAGATGAGTCGGGCACTTGCAGTCTTCGTCAGACTTCGGTCAAAGATGGTCATGAACCGATTTCGCATGTCGACATCTTGCGCCCGTGTTCCAATCAGAAATGCATGCTCGAGTCTTACTGTTAATTCGGTTCTAGTGATCTTCGGGTCCTCGTAGATTCGAATAACTAGGTCCAAGAATTTATGCAACAGCGTCGGATCTGGACGTGCCTCGAAGAGCAGCATTTTGTGAAGCACTGCCGTCTTCTCCTTCAAGGTTGGCCAGGGATCGCTCGAGTCGAATATCCATGTCTCCACCATCTGCAGGATTCTTTCACACAACTTGGTGTTCTGCGATCGCTCTACTAGTTGGGCTAGCACGCTGAGAAACGGTCGTCTTTGATCCGCAAGGGTTGCCATCCTCGAGGATATGATCCAAATTGTTTTCAAGATCAACTGGCTGGACAACTCCATCTCTCGCTCATCAAGTGCGCCTGGCTGACCTTCACCAGGCCGCATTCCTGGCTGCATGCCTGGTGGAACTACAGGTTGAGCAACTTGGTCTTTGGCAAGCTTCGTTGACAGCGCTCGCATGATATGAGGAATGTGGGTTTCGATCTCCTTGGGTCTGACTCTTGCTATGGTTTCGAAGATGTTGATGCTTGCAACAAGGTTGCCCTCGCCCATGGTCGCCGTTGCGACAGAGGATATGAAGCTCATGAAGTCTTTAGCTGGCGTGTCAATTTCCATGTCGTCCTCTTCTCTCGTCTCCTCTGGCAAAGCCTCAATGATCCGCTGTGCCATTGGCCGAATCTGCCGGTCGCCGTCAAGGACTCTGTCACTGGTGTGTAGACAGTCTTGTATCTCGGGATTGTCCATTTTGCTCGGTTTTTCGAGCAATTTCTGTATCTGGGGCAGCTGTGCCACGATCCACTCATCCGATTTGATGTTCAGCACAATGCGCAAGACCTGGAGCGTGTTGACGATGCTTGTGGCCGTTTTGTCATCGCCCTTGTCCGTCTTCTCAGAAGCCAATATCTGCTCTGACGTCCTTGGAAAAAGATCAACCTCCAAGTCAGACCAGTACTCAGGTAATAGAAGATCATGGAAGAGGCCAATGGCCTTTCTGCACATCTCATTTGGAGGCAAAGGTATCTGGGGAGTAGTAGAGTGGAGATCCCTTAGTTTGACACTGGGCACGGGATACCGCTCTGGGAGACTACTGATGAACTGCGTGAGGTACTTGATGAGCATCGTCCGAAGTGGTGTTGGAATTTGATACTCGCTTCGTTCAACATTTGATGGAGGCCCCAAGCTCGGCGCTGGCGACGCAGAACCACCGTTCGGCAGCTCAAGCTTGCGCTTCTTCGCGGGCGAAGACTCGGATGACTGAGAACCTGGACGGTCTCCGGCTTGGACTCGGCGTTTCTCCCATTCCAGTATCATGTGAATCAGATTGAGGACGAGCTTCTTGTGCTCGTTTGATGGGTTTGGCAGTTGTGCGATCTTCGACAGCGAAGGAATGATGGTCGGGATAAAATGCTCTCTGGCTTCATAGAACAAGCTGGGATGTCGAACCATGAATTGGAAAATACCGATCAGTTGTTGAAGATTGGAGCTCTCCTCTGACAGTATTCGTTTAGGCCACTTCGCCCACATGGGATATCGCGGATCGCTTTGTGCGTTGAGACGCTTCGGGAGGACTGGAGCAATCAAGTCTAGAGCTTGGACTACAAGAGCGCGACCTTCGTTTTGATGTGCCTTTAGACAAGCGACGTATATTTGCTGGGTGATCTTTGGGGGGGTTTCAAATTGCGCGATGAAGAAACCAATGAGCACATACGCTGCGTGCTTATTGATAATATCCTCAAGTTTAATATAGCTCCAGCCGAACTTGATTATATCTTTGCGCGCTTCGGAAACAAGGCTGTGGTGCCATTTCAAGAGCAGCGCTGACATCTGCAGGAGCTCCAACCGCGAATGATCGGCGCCTGGCTGTGGATTGTCTTCATTGGCGTCATTCAGTACTGGTGGCTTCCAGATCTTGTTGTGAATCGCGTCAACAATACTCTTATCGATGAGGCGACGTGTTGGAAACGAACTAGCAGTCTCTGTCAGGCTTCTCATGGTGTCCATGGCGAAAATTGGGTTGACGAGATATCGGAACGCGAAAGTCTTTGTTCTCTGAGACGACCCACGGAGACTGTAAAGCTCAAGGCTGCGCATGACAAGGCTTCGCCAGTAGTCGACAGAAGCATTGGAGATGATATGACTGTAGATGAACGCATAGAGCGATGGCTGTTCCTTGATCTCTTCCATGGTTACCGCGTCGATGAGCTGGAATAAAAAGTCGAAGTCTTTGGGAGCCAGTCCAAGAAATTGCACGAAAATCTCCATCAGCTGCTCAGCAGCCTGGTCAGCTGCTAAACGTAGGTCTGGATGAATTGTGTCCATCTTTCTCTTCTGATTGAGATCTTTGCCAACCCGCATTAGGGTCTGACGTAGTGACTCCTTATCAGCAAGCCAAGCAGATGTGTGTTGAACCAGTGAATGTATTGCGTGAATGGCATTAATAGAAGCAGCATCCTTCTTTTCTGCATCTTCGAGGTCAAATGAAGCCTTCGCCAGTCCCTCACTATCTCCGATGAGGACTTCGCGCAGAGGTCCGCTTCGCTGTGAAGCAAGAAGCTGAGCAAAGAAACGGCCGTACTTCATTTCGGATAACTTTTCGGAAAAGAAATCCCAAGCTTCTTTCGGGTAACGATTGACATACTTGAGAAGAGGCTCCCTGAATGGACTGAAGTGGGTCCTCCGAAGTGATTTCTCCAAATCAAGCACTCTTTCTATCATGTCCTTCATGAAAAGCGCGGCAGTAGACGGCAATAGATGGAAGATGTTGAGAGTGGCAATGACGACCTTCATCTGAGGATTCTGTTCAATAAGAGAGAAAGATGACTTCTGTAGGACTGGTGCGTCAGCAATGACAGTCATGTGAGCGAGCAACTTTTCGCCTATCTCGGTCTTGAAATAATTGGTCAACAGAGCCAGGAGTCTGGCAAGTCCATCGAGCCCTTGCACACTGAGTTTCTTCGGGTCTTGCAGATTCATAAGGATAGGTCGCAAACCATTTTGCAAGAGATCTTTCGGCAATTTGTTTGTCTGGGACAGGACGCCCTTTAGACCAGCATTGGCAGCGTCAATGACTTCAGGAGAGCTCGAGTACAGAGATTTGAAGAAAATCGTGATGATCCGACTCCGGCTCTGGGTCTGCTGCTGCCCTGCAAATTCCGAGAAGCCAATGGCAAGTGTCAGGAGTCGGATGCAGGATACCCGAAGGGCTACGAGAGATTCAGCAGTCTTGTATTCTGCTGGTTTTGAAGCGAGATTATCGTCTTCAGCATCAGCCAAAGCCATTGTCTCGGTCAGAAGCCTGTTTAGCATCTCATTGAATTCGACTAGATTCCGCTGTAGTCCCAAACAATACGATATCGCATCGATGAATCCTATCTGAGTAGCGAAAGACAAAGCTCGGAGCGGCTTTAGGTAGATCGGCTGCAGTAGTCTATCCTTGACGGGGGCTATGAGCTCGTGGACCTCTGTACCGATGACCTGGGCGATGATGGAAAGAGCTTTGCGAGCAGCTTCACGGACGTGCTTGTTCATGTGCATGAGCTCGGTCACAAAGAACGCGCAGAGATGAATGAGCGGGCTCGAGTGGTTGTTTAGATCTTCTTTGGAAATTCCCTTGTTGCACCTGCGTAGCAAGATGTCGACAGTCTTCAATGCTTGACCGCGCGTATTGGCCGGCAAATCCTGAGGCATATCCTTCATGACATACATGAGAGCCCGAATAAATTCAAGTTGCCTGCCCTTTGTCCAGTCATCGCCAAGGTTTATCTTTGTTGTGAGTATGTTAATTCCAAGGCCCCCTCCAGCTTTGACGAACCAGTCTTCCTCATAGCACTTGTGACTGAAAGTCTTTGCCAGGTACAAGAAGAATGGCAGTCGTTCCACCCGCTCTGGACCTCCGAGAATGGTTGCTGCGGCCTCGTGTACTATCAATATAGAGGATTCGGCTGCTTCTCTCAGAGTGGCCTTATCCGACGACAATTGTTCGGCAATGGCATCAGCTAGCACACGGCTGTCGAGACACAAGAGACCTTCGCCAGACTTTACATCGAAGTCCTTGTTCGATTGCTTTATGTGGGCTAGCGCTCTTCCAACTTCAAGAATCGTAAAGTGGCGGCAGACGTCGGTAAGTAATAAGGAGGCCGTGCCTTGAAGATCTGGCAATGTTGTTGCAAGCATCAGAGCTTTCAGCAGCCTTTTCAATGTCTCTTGTTGAGAGTCTCTCTTGGGAATAGACTTCTCACGATCCGCCATTTGCAGAATGTCGGGTGTCGCGTCGTATTTGGCCTCCAGTAGATCAATAGCTTGTAGTCGTACGAGCTGCGCAAAGTCGTCTGGCAAGCTGTCGAAACCTATATGTATCTTCAGTTGCGCACTTATCAATCTGAGGGCCTGTTGCTTGTAGTAGGGATCTGCTTTCTTCGTAGGTGGTGATTTTGGGACTTCTGATAGCTTCGCAATGGCGAGATCAACGCCAATACTTGCAGGAAAAGATCGGTCCCTGCCCGATCCCACCAGCCTGATATCGAAGGAACATGAATCGTCTGCAAATTGCTGAAAGGTAAGGTCCGGGGGACCATTAAGGAATTTGCGATTGCGACCACCAAGTTTGCCCAGTATGCGCATCGTCGTGTGGGCATGGAAGTGGCTATAGGGATTTGGCTTCAGGTGATCCCACAATGCCATCATTAATTCGTCGATAAAAGGCGCCATGATGGGGTCCAAATACTCTGCTGTGAGATTGTCGACGCAAAGCTCCAACGTCCGCAATCCTTGACCAACCAGATCGGAGCCAGCTCGGAGAGCCACCACCAGAGGTCGCATAAGAAAATTCAAATGCGGCAAGAGGTTGCTCAAGCGAGCTGGAACGGTCAAGCATAGTTCCACGTAAAGGTCTCGCTCCTGCGGTTTCCTCGCAGCCAGCAGAAGATTGTTCAGGACCTCGAGTAACATCTCCAGTAAAGGCAAGATCTCTTTGTAGAGAAGCTCAAATCGTCCACCACCAATGCTCCTGAACAGGGACCTTAAGAGATAGAAGTAGTTCATTGGCTCCTCCGCTGCTGTGGAAAGTTGGATTGACTGAGTCACAATCTTGGTCACGTGGGGTAGCAGGACCTGCTCGTTCTGCTGGTTGAACAACGTTACTGCCATGAACGAGAGCTTGAACATCCTCAATAAGATCGACGACTTCTTTATGTCTGAAGTGCCAACCTCTCCTATCCGATCCATCAAGAATTGAAGGAGCATGCCTGCGAAAGCTGGCGAGGTGGCCTCGCTGGCCAGGAAGAATTGCGGAACATGGAGTAAAGCCGGGTGCTCGAACATCATACTGTAGAGAAGGGGTATCTCAGAATGGAAGACTTCGTGAAAGGTTGCAGGATCGATGCTATGAAAAACGGTCGCGAAGGTCTCAAGGAGATCCTTTTCTTCCTTACCGCTCTGGACGCCGTAGTTGGTAGTCAAAAACTCCACAGGAGAAGACGCCTCGGCAAAAGGCTTCTCTAAGCTGTAGTATCGGAACACGTAAGCTCCTTCTCGGAACAATTTCTTGATGACTTCAACTTCCTCTGCATTATAGCCATGTGAGACCTCTTGCCAGTTCGCAGGGGCGTTGCCAGGATCCATAACCGGAGCTTCGGGGTTACAGATCTTGAGCTGGTAGAACATGCCTTTTAGTCCAGTCAAGAGGTTCTTGAACAGAAATTTGTTGTCCTCGACAGGGATGGCTCCACGATCTTTGGGATTTGACATCTTGATAGGCGTAGCTGAGAAAATGTCAACCTCATCCCAATCTGGGGGAGACTTCGCGTCCGCTAGGTGGTCTTCAGGTATGGCGTCTATCGACTGCGGATCGCAATGCTTCGATAGCTTCACTGAGTTCTGGTATTGATGGTTCATATCAGCAAACTTGTCTCCGATGGCGCTTAATATCATAATCAGGAAATGACGAGCATCCTTCTTGTCCGGCAGACCCGCAATACTATCCGCCAGGTTGAGAAGAAGCTTCGCGCTCATTGTCTGGAAGCTCGTTCCCGGGAAACTATCATGCAGATTCTTGGAGAACACGTTGACCGTCTTTCGAATCTGGTCCCGGCTTAGCGATTCTCGAATGTGGTGGATGAGGTCGGCAAGTAGACTGTAAGCAAGAGGGCGCATTGATTCATAGACCGTGAGACCATCGCCAATGAGCGTCCGTTCGTCTAGCAGATCATCTATCTTGGTGAGGAAGATTTTGCGGAAGTTGAAGTTGATGGTATGCCGTATGGCTACTAGTAGCTCTTTCCTTGTAGATGACTTTTCGCTTGGGCAGTCACGTAGCAGTCGCACAACAATATCAGGCAGGACCGGCAGAAAGTCCTGTAGTTGCTGAACATAGACCCGCAGTAGGTAGGCCAGAAAGCTCATCATTTTGACCTGAGCTGTAATAAGCTCCCCAAAAGCAGCCCTGTTCTTGATGTCCTTGCAAACTCCTGTGAAGATCTCGTCACGTTTGCTAGCCTCGGTATGCGCTCGCTCTTGTGGACTAGCTTGTAGTGTAAGGACTTTCTTAATCCAAGGAACGAACTTCTTAACGTTGGCGGGCACACAGTTACGATGGGCCTGGAACAGCGAGACAACAATGATGGGGCACTCCGCAAAAACCTTGAACGACTGCATTCCTTTCAATAGCGGGCGAGCTTGTTGGGTCTCCAGTCCCAATTCCGCACCTACTGAAGCAGCTGGCGACCCTGGGCGTGGGGATTGAAAGTTCTGAGGGTTGTGCGGAGTCGTACCAGTCGAAGAACCTTGCGCCGGGGCATCAAAGGTATCCTTGACCACCTGTTCCATAGCCTGGAACATTTCCAATATGAGGTCCAAGAATGGCTGCACCTTTGCCGCAGTTGCCTCCGGTTGATGCCGCTCCAAGTCCATTATGGTCTTCATGCACAATATCGCGTTGTCCTCGTTCTCCGTCCGGACCAAGCCCATAAGGAGATCCACAATATCGGTGGCGTACGGCTTGAGCGCTTCAACATGGCTCATAGGCAGTCGGTGAAAAATTTCCAGAACGCAATTCCGAAGTCTCTAAGACCCAGCATCAGCATCATATCATTTCCAAAGCAAGCTTCAGAGCATAGCGTACATGTTCCATGTTCGTGCTCATGAAGACAGGCGGACCTTCAAGGAGCTTCATGAATACTGGAACGAGCTTCTTGAGAAAGATCGGGTAGGTAGGGCCATTGCATAAAATGTCAATGTTGTCCCGCAGTTCTGTTGCGATGTTGTATTTCTTCTGGACCTCTGCGCAAATGTCAGTTGCTGTTTTGCGAACGCACCCATGGCTTGCCCAATGAAAGAGCGGAGGTATCTCCTACCAAGGTTCACATCGCCCAGCCTCGCGGCGAAGGCATCTATGTTTTTCTCCGCCATGGTGATTTTGCTGGAGGTTTATGTCTCCTAAGGGAATGTGGGGACGACTGAGAGCCTAGCACCGCTGTGCGTGCGTAGCCCCCTCTTCGTACCCGGCAACTTGCTCGTACTCATTTCAGATTTCACTCATCAATATGGGTTGATAAACGGCGTCAATGCTGGAGAATGGTGAAAAATATGATGTGTTGTAGCGCAAGAATGGCATATACCCGAGAACCTGGGCTAGATAGAGTCAAAAATGCTCGTGATGACGGGGTGGTGCTGTTGGGTCAGGTTGTGAGGGAGACAGAAGGGTGGTGTTGAAGAAGATCCGGGGCATGCCTTTAGCTGTCGAGCTTTAGGCTAAGGCGGATAAGGATGGTTAAGGTACCTTACGGTAGTACAGAATCGTAATTTACGCTCACCTTTACTAGCTTTACTCGTGCGGCCAAAAAGTCTAGCTTCTTGACAGTCCGGTGCGGGATAACCTACCAATCAAATCATCTACCTTGCTGACGCTTCATGCTTTCCGTTTTGCGGTATTAGCCCTCTTGCGACTAGACTGCCAAGAGGATAGATTTATCGGCCGCACGAGTAAGTACCTTTTGCCAAGACCTTGGGTCCCAGCACTCATCGTATCTAAACAGCCCTTCCCAAAAACATTGAGCGACTTGATTTAATATCAGGCCGAGTACTCAATCGTGACTCGAAGACCGAACGAATCTTGAAGAGTAGCATTTGCCGGGCCCGAGAACTCAATGCGAAAATCCGTTTGAACTTTAGAGTACCCCTTCGCCGGTAATAGAAGCGTTCAGAAACCTGCCCGTGTACAACTGCCAGCATCACCACACGTCCACGCAGCTCTGACACTCTCCAATATAGCGGGCTTGACTCTTGAGAGTCATATTGCAATCCTCGTCAGCAGTCCTTCGATCTCACCGCAGCATTCTTGTCTGCCGAACCGGTCAAGCATCACTCCAACGGTTCACATGCACGTTGGGACACCATTCGCGATCATCGCTCGATATTTGCATGAACCTGTTGGTGCTGCGATCGAGACACATACCGGCTTGCCCCTGCAGAGACTCTGACCGATACTGACCCATGCAATCTGACCATGGATGTGTACGTGCGGCATACGAAACAGCCGCCTCATATGAGCTCATCGGCATCGCATTCGTCGCAACTGCCAGCAGAATGACTAGAAGTCGCTCGTTGACTATGGCTTGTTCGAAGGCGGTCTCGGCTCCATGGTCATCGTTGCAAAGGAGCCAGCAGTGACCGAGCTAGTTGAATCAATACCGACTGCTTCGGGAGAGCACTTTCCTTGAAGTCTGGTAGATTGTCTTGTGTGGTAGATACCGCGAGATCGGTAGACATCAGACCCTTACATCTTGCCGTACATTTTCGAGCATGTGAGCATCGAGCAAGGCCTGTCGTGGGAACTTTTGTTGATAGCAGCAGAGAGCTTATGGCTGGGCCCAATCCCTGCGGATGCCTTCTGCTTCTCAGCTCTGTCGCCAGTGAATCGCTGTCGGATTGCCCTTCGTATTTGCGACTGTTTAGACAAGTAGTACACGACAGCAACAGTCGAGTCATACGTCTGGCGTTTTGGAGACGGTGAAAGATTGACTACTATTCTACCACAGATTGCCAGCCTTGTAACTTAAGGTCCAGTCGATCAGGCTTACAACCCCATCAAATCTTGCCATACGAGGATCACTGTACTTCGTTGCTGGGCTACTCAGGAATGTTTAGAATGGCATGCGCAAGGAATGCAGTCATCGTTGCTGCCATGATGAAACAGATTGATTGTTTGAGGGTTTGTATTACATTATTGATTAACAATACAGACTTTTCTGACGCTTTTCCTTTTCCCTTATGCATGCTTTCCCTCCATTCGTACCGTCATCTCATTAAGCATTATACACTCTAGCATACGGTGATGTAGAACCCAATAGCAGCTGCATTGGAGTCTTGGAAGTAATTCAACGCCAAGCTGCCAGTCGAACTGACCTCGTACGAGACTGTCGTTCCAGCGGCACATGAGCCAGAAGCTATGACATACTCGTTACCCGGAGTAACGCTTGTGGGGCCACCCAGGTCTGATTCAACAGCAGGAACGGTGCTGTAGCTGGTTTGCTCTGTAGCTGGGCTCTGAAGCTGTGCAAAATCGAGGCTACCGGTACCGCTAAAGCTGAAGGCTGATGAAATCAGCTCGTCTTGAGTGGGTAGAAGGAAGACGAGCGAGCACTTCTTGCCAGAGTCGGACTCTGGAATGTCGAAGTTGAAGATCGATGATACGGTCGAAGAAAAAGTGCCGTTGTAGCTGGTACCGCCAGCGGTGGTAGGCAAATCCTTGTTGACGGGCACGATCAAGTGGGGGAACTCGTGAGTGCCAGAAAGGCTGGCGGGGCAGCCTGACGCGGATGCACCGGAAGCAGACGCAGCTGGCAAAACCGAGGTCTTGGTAATCAGGGTCGTTGGGGCTGGGCCTGTGGGTGAAGGTGTCTCCGGAGCGGGGGTGCTGGCCATTTCAGGTTGAGCGACCGAAGAGGAAGTTGCAACAGGAGCAACAGCAGTAGCAGGGCTCGAGGCACTGCTAAATGCCGTCTCAGCAGGGCTAGATCCAGCACTAGATGCTTTCTCACCCGCAGTGGAAGGAGTTCCTTCATTGCCAGCACCAGCAGCGTTGATCGACAGAGCCCCGGCAGTTGCAATAGCTTGAGCAGCTGGGATCGAGGATGCAGATGTCGAAGCACTCGAGCAGCCGAGATCGTAAAGTGGAGTATCGCTCAGAGTGGTACCGACAATGCCGAAGCTTGGGTTGGGTGTAGTTGGGTAGGCATCCTGCAGTGTGAACCACCACGTATTGGTCTTGCCGAAGAGCAAACCGCATCCGACCTGATCCCAGTATGTCTGTGCATTGGCAACACTCGGTACAGCGTCACCAGAGGTAGCTCCACTGACGGGCCAGCCGGTTTCCGTTACCCAAACCGGCTTACCGCCGGCGGCACTGATTGTAGCCTCATAGGCAGCGTCGAACAGGGAGTATCCATCGCCAATGGGGTTGGTCATGGTGTTCTGGAAGTACGGATAGGCGTCCATACCGATGAAGTCAGAACTAGTGATAACAGCATCGTTGGAGCCATTGACCCAGGCAGTCCAGGTGTCGACGTGTCCGACGAGCGCGTTTTTTGCAGCAGTGCTGGCGATGGCAGTCTTGACTTGACCAATGTAGTTGGAAATATCGTCTGGAGAGGCACCGACGCCGGACATGTTGATGATACCGGTAGGAGAGATGCGGTAAAGATCTTCGCTACCAACTGAAATGCCGACTATCAATGTTGCGAGCGCGGCACCATTGCTCCCTTGGAGGAAAGTGGTGAGGGCGGCAATTTCATTGTTGATATTTTCCTGACCTGCAGACGCCCACAAGCCAAGCAACAATGAAGTGTCGGTGTTGACCGCTGCCTGGAAGGCATCACTCGGGGTGTTGGTGGTTCCCGCTTGGATGCAGGTATAAAGGCGAGCACTTGTGAAGGCATCATTGGTGCCAACAAGGGCCTTGGCAGTGGTGAAGTCACTGGTGAACTGCTCCAACGTTACTGGCGAGCTGTCGGTGTTGGTTGAGCCGTAGTTGAAGCCTTGAAAGGCAGATTGTGAGAGGGAAAAACAAGCTGCAAAGGCAGCAAGGAGAGTGGAAGAGAGCATAGCTGGAACAAACAAACGAATGTGTTCTTGCTCAAGAAACAGTAGGAAAGTGGAAGATAGGTCCTAGATGCTAGGTAAGGTAGGTGAAAGTTCTGAGGATGAGAGGAGGATGAAGAGGAGGGGAAAAATAAGAGAAAGGTGAGGAGGTAGTTTATGTTTTATGTATGGGTGCAGCAGCCCAGCAGCAGTGCCTGCCTTCACATGGTATCCGAGCCCGGGAAATGGCGGCACGTCACTTTCCGATTACTGGACCAACTCACCTACTTTAGTTTAGCACTCCTTCATGTGGTCTTTAGTAGCCGCCTTCCTCCTAAAAAGCAGCGTAAGTGCCTCGTATCCATCAGATTTTTGCATTCTTTTTTGCCTGCATGACGGTTTTTTTGCGTCATGCAGCTTGCCTCTTAGTCTCATCTTGCCCCACATTTAGCCAAAAATAGCTCAATTGTGGACATCTGTCTGACGAACCAAACCGCATCAGATCAGCTTCCATTACACATCCCAAAAGTCAGACGTTAAATTTTATGTAAAAGAAATCATCCATCAAAAAAGTCATCATCTGTCGTCACGTCGTGGGAACCGCCGATGTGTCTCAGAAAGCGATGTTGGCGCGCAAAGAAAGAAGGGGGCGGCGAAGAATTTAGTACCTAAAGTACTTTAGGCCGAAAGGCGATTATCCAACAACTGCGCCTGCAGGCGCAAGTGCAACAGGAACAGCTTGTGCATCGCTGCTTACAGTACATGTCATGCTGTACATCTACGATTTCGCGATATTCTTACACGAGCGTCATCTGACTCTTTCCTTTTGCCATGATCCGAGCGATGGTGAGCGCTAAGATGGTGACGGCCGTGAGGAATACGGGCTATTATTTCTAGCCTTCGCCCGAAATCTTTCCCAAAGGCGAGAAAGGCAAATGGATATGGATGCTACTATCCGAGTGTAATTTAGTACGAGAAGCGCTCTGAGATACTCTTTAATACTTTCCGTATCCTGCAAATTGAGCATCTTGAATTGGGGTTGTGCTTCACTGCTTGATGAGCTTTGATGTTTGGCCGGCCAAATGCCCAGCCAAACTGGCAACGCCACACCGGAGGATTTCCCGCGCCGGCGCCTGTGTTAATAATTCCGCAGGGCGGGAAGCCTATACTTGGCATCGACCTCTACGAGAACATTTCTACCTTGCTGCGACACTCATGAAACACTGAGTACATGTAGTTAATTTTACAGCCGCGCTTGAGCTTCCACTTTCTGTAACAACTTCCACCCTTGCACCTCTGCTCGTCACCTCCATCTACCGACCCGCGGCATA